TGGAACGCATTTTCGGCCTGAAAATGCGTCCAATTCGGCCGTTGTCGTCGCCACAAAAAGCGCGCGCAGCGCGCGCTTTCTCTTCGCAAATACACGCCCTACTTGTCAGAGCATTTGCCCAAAAACGGCCGTCGTTGCGTGTCAGAAAAGCGCGCTCTGCGCGCGCTTTTGCGGAACCCCTGGACGGCCTTTTCGACCTGACAATGTGTCCAACTCAGGCGTCGTCGTCGCCTCTAAAAGCGCGCGCAGCGCGCGCTTTTCCTTCGCAAGTAAACACTTTGATTGAGAGCGTTTTTGCGCTGGAATCGGCCGTCGTTGCGTGTCTGAAAAGCGCGCGCCGCGCGCGCTTTTGCGGAACCCCTGGACGGTCTTTTTGGACTGAAAATACGTCCAATTCGGCTGCTGTCATCGCCGCAAAAAGCGCGCACAGCGCGCGCTTTTGGGCGCCGCCCCGTGGCTGGCCTTTCGGTGTGTGGAAAAGTTCATTTTCTTGGTGCGTGCGTCCGCTAGTAAACGCCATGTTTCGTAGTGCATTTTTCCTAGAAATGGTTGTCGTTGCGTGTCAAAAAAGCGCGCGCCGCGCGCTCTTTTTTTCCCGCCCTTGGGTTCCTCTTGCAAGTCCACAATGCGTCTTTCTCTAACAAAAGAAATTTACTTAGACAACAATCCAAGAAGGACACAGTCACAGCGCATTTTGTGTCCATTGTAGGGTTTCATTTGTTGACAACATTTCGGCAACACCCCACCGCGCGCCTATCAGTAAGGCTACGGTGTGGGGAGGAGTGCGAGACCAGGGAGGCGCAGGTGCTGTCAAAGGACACCTGTGGACAGTTGCTGCAAACGGCCCCCTCAGGACACTTCAGGTCAATGGCCACAAACAGAAGACTGGAAATGCAATTTGCAAAGGAAAAAGGTGAGCAATTATTACACGGGTGAACGCTACGGGTCATAGTCCAATTCCAACTTTGTCTCCTCCTCTGTTCCCAGGCCAGAGGGTGCCCCTCCTTACTGGCCTTCCCCGACAGCCTTGTGCTCACTGGCCCTGGATGATGTCGATGCCGCAGCTATTGCTGGGTGACGTTTTGTCAGAAAAAAAGTGCGGCGGCGACCGGTGGTCGCAAAATTGCGACCACTGCCTTAGTGTTGGTGCTGTGTACCGGTCAGAACGGACTTGCTGACCAGCAGCCCACCCAATTTTTGTGCCACCCACGGGGCACCGGAGGGTGATGCACCACCACGGACATGATGTCCGGCCAATGTGTACCGGTCAGAACGGACTTGCTGGCCGGCAGCCCACCCAATTTTTTGTGCCACCCACTGGGCACCGGGGGGTATTGCATGGTGTCCGGCCAATGTGTACCGGTCAGAACGGACTTGCTGACCAGCAGCCCACCCAATTTTTGTGCCACCCACGGGGCACCGGAGGGTGATGCACCACCACGGACATGATGTCCGGCCAATGTGTACCGGTCAGAACGGACTTGCTGGCCGGCAGCCCACCCAATTTTTTGTGCCACCCACTGGGCACCGGAGGGTGTTGCATGGTGTCCGGCCAATGTGTACCGGTCAGAATGGAGTTGCTGGCCGGTAGCCCACCCAATTTCTGTGCCGCCCATGGGGCACCGGGGGTGATGCACCGTGAGTTGAGTCAACTCGTCAAAGCAGCGCTCATGAACTACATTAAACCTTCAACTACAATCCATTATGCTTGTGGCGGGCTGCAATCCAAATTGCTTACAAGGCGCGTTCCTAGGAGTGTGGTAGATATCAATGTGGAACATGTTTTTTAGTGCTACAAGACATACGGTCTTGAACACTATCAATTTTTACGATTTGCTTGGAAATCAAGATGTTGAGCACTAATTGTAGTATTTGCTCACTAACGACATTTTGCACGAAAGGGTGTTCTAAGTAATTTTGTCAAAATTGCAGTTTGGTTTCGCTATCTAATCCACTAGGAACAAAAGGGCCAAATAGCATGTGTTCAAACGTGTACATAGTTTACGAGTTTGTTTTTTTCTTGGTTTTATCATGCAGAACGCTGATGACATGCATGTATATGTGCTCGCAAAAAGTGTTATCTTGTCCTTTTTTGCTGGCGATCTGCATGAATGACCTTTTCTCAACACGATTTCCTCAAAATGTCAATCCAAATAATCGAGGTCAGAGTAGCTCAGGTTCCTTTCAAGTAGCACCAGTGGCTCGACATGTTGCAGCGACAATTAAGCATCCACAATTGGAAGTTTGACAAGCGCGTTGCAAATTGACATCGTCGTTGGCATTTCGCGGGTTACTATCTGGTGTCCATTTACGTTAGGCTGGTTGGTCAATTGGACTGCAAAATGGCCAAAAAACACTTGGCGTAGCGATATGGCAAAACATATCAGCGAGCAAAGTACAGGAAAATATAGATTTTTCTCTTTAAGTTCCCAAATCCCCAAAGACACGTGAAATACGCATAGCAATGTCATCTGCACTGACATGTTCGCATGTTGAAAGATGACTTCCACGAGGCATCGAGGTGTTAAGGGTGCTTTTCTTTCGAAACAGCTAAGGCACCATTTTTTCCTCTCAGTGTGGGGACATCAATCATTTGAATTTAGCGAATATGCTACACAGACCCTGCTTCTTGACGTAGTTTCCATGTTCCCATTTTGAGCTCGACGGGATCTATAGGTATTGACAGGCTTGAATAAGAGGCTCGTGTTTTTGTATTTGAACTGTCGATCGTGGGAACAGGTGGCCTCCCAGATTGTTGCTACGTGCCTTTGTGACGAGTTTTCCAAGCGTGTTCACCCTCTCTCCGTTCCCCAAACCATATCCTTGGCGCCCTGGTACCCGACATCGGAAGCCCAAAGTTACCAAATCGGCCAGTGTCGGCGGAGATTGGGACTCCAGAGCCGCGTCCGCAGGTGCCCAGCTCCCCTGGTGTGCCCACCTCCAGTCCGCCTATTCACGCGAGCAGGTCGTAAGCATTGATCCGCCGGATTGTGTGGAATTTCAACAGGCTTGGTTTTTACGCCGTAAATCCCGATCGTATTTACGTTTTCACGCGTAAAAATGCGTAAAAATACGTAGATACAACGTAAAAACTGCCTGGTGTACATAAGAACAGCACATACAGATTTACAGAGTGCGTAGAGTGGCAGCCAGCCGCTTTGGAAGAGGCGGAAGACGAGTTTTTGTTGAGCGTCATTATCGCCCTTGCCCAGGGCGAGGTGGACATTGTGTTGCCGGTGCTGCAAATGCCGGAGGACGCATCATTGTACGCGAGTTTTGTCGTGTAATGTACGTGTGCCAGGGGGCCGTAAAACGTAAAAATAGCCGTAAAAATAGGACCTTTTGCAAATTTACGTTTTTACGAGTAATGACGTAAAAGTGAAAACGTAAACGTAAACGCAAAAACCAAGCCTGGATTTCAACACAATACTCAGGTTTGATGATTTTCGTATCCGATTTCGTGCAGTACTTTCCTGGCGACTCGTAGCGGTAAAATTGTTTGATGCGGAAGGGACTTATATTGTAAGCTGGGAACGCGACTTAGAGCCCCCCGGAAATGAATTTTTTTAGTCTGACTCAGCGTTCTTGTGTAGGAATCGACCCCTGTCACATGGGGGTTACGTGAGTGGCGGGCTCTCTTGAGTCGGGTGCTGTGGGTACGCGCCCCTCGGGGTGGACTGGTGGCTGCGCTCGAGGGCGGCCGGGGGGAGGCGCGCGGCTATCGGTACCGCGGCTGCGGTGCACCGTGCGCGCTTGCGCTCGAGGCGCACGTTTCCTGGCGCAATTCCGCGTCGCCGCGGCGGCATAGGTGATCATCGCCTGCCCCGATCGTCACAACACCGATTGCCCGCGCCCAAACTCGCGGCTCGGCGGTGCCGTTCCCGTGAGGGCTCCCGTGACAGCCATGGGCACGGCGATGGCGGCACGCGAGGCAATCACCGCCCACCACAAGGCGAGACACTAAGGCTCCTGGGCCCAGGGGTGAGTTGATGGGTTTATTGAGGAGATCAGTAGTGTGGGTCCCGCCCATGGGCGCGCTTGAGCGCGAGCACGGGGTGGGGTGAACAACCCCGCCATCGCGACTGCAGCGCCCGGTGTGTGACAACCATAAGCCGAGGCTGTCGAATGTGATCCGGGATCCGTGCGTCGATTAGCCAATCTGGCTGCAGCGGTTGTTTTACGATCCAAACGTGCCGGTGGAAACGGGATCCGTGGAAGGGGTTCCCCAGTTCGCAGAGGGTGCAAACTCTGGCGGCGGTGCTGCGCAGCCGTGGCAGCAGTGACGGTGGCAATGGACACTGCAATCAAAGAACAATTGTGGTCGAACTAATAACATGAACTGCGCAACCCAGCCACCGAATGAGCAGGCTCTTAGTGGACGAAGCAGGAACGAAAAAGCGCAGAACGTCGCGCCGAAGGCCCGACTTCTGGACTGGTTGAATATGCTACGGTATCCCATTATTGGGGGCAACGGACTCTTGGATGTCGTGGCGCAGATCACCTCACTTAGGCATGCCGGTCGCTTTGTTTTGCAATGATATGATACCGCTAACAAAGTTAGATGGGTAAACGGGAGGATGTGCTAAAATCACAGGTCGTACGCCACTTGGAAATGAATGAAACGGTCCACAACAGCTTCCTTTGGCGTATCCCTGCTCTCCTCCATTCTCCTCTTGAGGATACCAAGAACAGATTAGGGCAAGTTCATTGTCCGAATTGGATCCGCACAATACATTTCGAATTACTCCATCATCGGCAAGGAGCCTGCCCAACAAATGGCATCGTTTCATCATCGACATGGAATCCAATGAACCGTACATTGTGTGCACATTTTCGAAACCCGCATTCACAAATTTCCCTTTGGGAATACAAGCCTAACCCCAACAGGCGAAGTTGGTACGCAGTATCCCCACAAGCGCAAAGAGATCTGCATCGCCATGAACGAAAGGCAAAATGCACTGATTGTTCAAGACATGCTGTATGCATGCCCTGAATATGTCTCAATCGCCCGCCTGCGACCTTGGCAGGTTGACTGTCAACACGGCTTCTTTCTGCTTGTTGGACGTGAGGCGGGCGGACTTGAACTCCACCTCCTCCTCCGCAGCCGACCCAAGGTTCTTGACGGTCCACAGAACGGCAGACGTCCCGCCGGTCGTCATCGAGGCCTGGTGGCTGGCGAAGTAGTTCGCGGAGACCACGTACTGCCCCTCCACGCCCTTGCGCAGAATATACACCTCCGGCCCGTAGCCCTGAGTGAAATCTTTGCTGAGGTGGGCGCCCGTGAAGTCGCTCCTGTTGCGGCCGTAATACACCTCCCGCTGGTCGGGCTCCCGCACGTGCAGGTCGATGTCCGTGTGGTCGGTGTCCCACCCCATCCACACCAGCAACGCCAGCCGTATCCCCTCTATGCGGCACTTGGAAGGCAGGTCGCCCTCCGGCCAGTGCGTCTCGCCCTCCCCGGGGCACTCCCGGTCTGCCCAGTCGACCACCCAGGACAGCAGCAGCAGCGCCGGCCACTCGATCTGCGAAAACCTTTCCGGCCACTGGCCCTTGGCCACCTTGACGAGCTTGGCGATCACGCAGCGCAGCTCGGCCCCGAGGTCGGCACACGCCCCGGGATCCTGGCGCACGCGCATGAACCTGCACCAGGCGATGTCCAGGTGGGATTGGGGCTCCTCGGGCGCCATCTCCTCCACGGCCTCCAGGAGGCACACGGCGTCGTCCCACTTCCGGTGGCTGATCATGTGGTAGGCGACGACGCGGGACGTCTGCGCGTCGCGCAGCTGCATCTCCAGCACGTTGGAGATGATGTTGACGCACAGGCCGGCGTCGGCGCCATGTTCGCGGAAACAATCCGCCGCGTAGACGTAGAATGACGGCCGGTCCTCGTGTTCCTTGCGCTGCTGCATGTACTGCCAGTACGCCTTTTCCAACTTCTCTTCCGGGCTGCATTCGCTCCCGAATGCCTCCTTGATTTCGTTCAAGTACTCCTCCCCTGTCAGCGGTTTCGCGACGACCACGCCGCCCAGGGCTGGAGGAGGAGCCTGGCAGGGTGACTCTTTCCTCATTGCAGAACACGGTGCGGAGAGTGGAATTCGGCCGCTTCCCGCAGGAGGCGCACCGCTGGGGCGTGGGCGTTCACTAGGCCCATCTCTGGCGCCCCCAACTGACGACGAGCCGTCAAACAAAGAGAAACCCATGTCGCAGTCATCGTCCTCTTCTTCTTCTTCTTCTTCAAGACTGTCCTCGCATGCCTCAACGTAACACAAGTCCTGCAAGTAATCCTGAGATCCCCCATATCCCTCACCATCGTCCGACCCTGATTCTGACACACCGTCGTCCTCTTCATCTGCCCACGCACCCGACTCTGCGAACGGATCCCTCCCCGCTTTCTTTCTCTTCTTGCACTTGTCCTTGGCCTCCTCAGGGCGCTCGAACTCACCCAGCTCTTGGTACAGCTTCACGTAGCCCTCCAGCTCCCGGATTCGCCCCTCCTGTGCCGCCCGCTTGTCCGCCTCGCCGCCCTCCCTGCCTTTTTTCTCGAGCTCCTTCCACTTGGCGTGCCCCGGATGGTCCTCAGGGCACGGCACGCCGTTGTCCAAGAACTGCTGCGCCTCGTGCAGCAGCAGGAGGGTGGTGTCCTTGGAGGCCACCCCGGCCCGAACGGCCACATCCACGAGGTGCTTGGCGCTGCCCGCCGGGTCCCAGTGGCTCACGAAGCCCTCCTCTAGCAGCGCGCGACAGTGCAGCACCTCCAGCATCCTGCCGTGGGCGGCGTCCCCGCCCTGGCCGCAAGGCAGGGGGAGGGTCACCCAGCCCCTGGCCTCCCCCATCGAAAAGGCCACCGCGACTTCCGTGACGGACGCGGAGTCGGGAAACGCGCCCGTGACCAGCAGGCCCTCGCCCTTGGCCACGTGGGCGCCCAGGCGGTTGAGTCGAAAGTCCGGCACCGTGACGCACCGCTCGTCCGTGTACACGGCCACGTCCGCCTGGGCGCCCCGCTGCCGGGGCTCGACCCTGGTCGCCAGCAGCGGCTGGGCGTCCTCTTCGTCGCCCCTGCCGGCGAGCAGGGCGGGTGCGGCGGGGTCGTCCGGTCGAAGGCAGGCGCCCCCGCTGGTGTGCGCCAGCCACTTGAGGAAGGCGCCGTCGGAAGGCCCCTGGGGCAGGACGCAGAGGAAGGGGCACCTGAGGTCGCGGGCGGCCGGGTACCGCTTGAAATTGGCGATGCCGTCCGAAAACAAGGCGCAGCAGTCGACGTCCTCGCCCAGCAGGTCGCACACCGCCCCGAGCCGGGAGACGTCCGTCCCGCCGTCGTAGTCGCAGGTCTTCAGGTAGGCCACAATCTCCTCCGCGCTCACCCGCCGATGCACGAGCCGCAGCCTGGTGTCCAGCAGGATGAGGCTGAAGCGGATTGCGTCGCCACGGGCCGCTTGGGCAGTCGCCAGTAGCAGCTGCGCCTCGGCTGCGCGGTCCGCCTTCCGGCGACTGGACGAAGTGTCCCACACCACCGCGACGTGCCTGCACGGCCTCTCGACACGCTCAGGCGCCTCCTGTGATGCACCTTGTTTCGCATCCCCGGGCGCCAAGCAGGCTAAAGCATCGGCGTATGGCAAGAATGCGGCAAAGTGCGTGACCCCGGCGTCGCCTTCCCTCGCCACAAACGCCTGCGGGGGAGGCGGAGAAGACGCCGCGACCGCCAGCACCACCCCTTGCTCGCCATGCGCGTTCTCCACGCTGTACACGCCCCCGTCACCCGCAAAGGCGTGCCGCACGCTCCAATCCACGCCGCTCCCGAACACCAGCGGCAGCCGCAGGTCCCAGCCAGCCACCCCCCCGCGCCGAGGCAGGTCGCACAAAAAGGTGACGGTCAGCGTGCGCCTCTCGTTGGGCGGCAGCGGGAACACGTCCGTCCTCCAGACGTTGCCCTGCGCCGCGGCCACTGTCGACACCTGCCGCCCCTTCTCCTGCTCCCTGTACGCCACGGACGCCGCCTTCTTCTTCTCCACGCACACCGCCCTCACCATCCCCTCCCCGATCTGGAACTCGTGGCCGCACACGACCGCGCCGTTGGGCAGGGGCAGCTCCAGGGTACCCTTCACGGGCGCCCTGCACTCCGTCGCGGACACGACCAGCTCCAGGCGGCACAGCGCGCAGCGCAGGGCTGGGTTGAGCGTGGCATCCAGGACCGCGGAGTGCACCACGGCGGCGTTTGCGGACGCGTCGCCGTAGGTCAGGCGGACGGGGGCGGGTGCGCACTCGACCGAGGCGTCTTTCGCCATGGTGTTGGAAGGATGGGCGCGGTCGGAGGTGGACGCATATGTGGGGTGCGCGGGTGTGCCTGAGCGGAGCCAAGGGGAAGCCATGCAGCCGTGCATGGGAAGTTGCGTCAAGTCGGGCGCGAGCTGTCCAAGGATGCCAATGCATCGCTGGTTGGTGGTTGTGATGCGACATGTACGTGCTGATGCGACGTCTTGGGTGGACGGCAGGCACCATGTCTTTTGAAATGTGACGAAGGTTTGGGCAAAGGGAGAGGAGATGCGCAGCCTCGGATGGTCCAGGGGGGCTGATTCAGGCATCTAGGACTGCTCAAGATGAACCTCCCTGGCCAGAATCGCCCGGCACTGCGCATGATGATGGTCTTTGGGTAGAAGTTCACACACCTTTGTCGCGACAACATCCAGTAGCGAAAAACTGTTACTTCCTTTAATGAACGCCACTGGTGATAGTGATCGACGTGAACAAAGATTCTGTCTTTCGTTCCCTGATGCGCACTGTCGGACCAGACTTATTCCTCCTACATGCCGCAATTGGACAACCTTGCAGCGGATGTGGCACCATGTTGGGTGCTGCGGATAGCGTTAATTGATGCAGACACCCAGACATACACGTCACCATGTATCGGCAACGTTAATTGATGCACACACCCAGACATACGCGTCACCATGTATCGGCAACGATGGGAATCAGTATGCGGCTCTGAACCTGTGCACGCGGTGAATGTGCAGCAATCAAAACAACCAGCACCTTTTGGCGGCTTCAACAGCCGGCGGGTGACTTCGCATGGAGTCGACTTGGCACCTCACAGCCAGGCCACGGCAGTGCGGAGCGGAAAGGACCAAGCAATATGCGATATAGCAATTGGCGACAAGAATTAGATGCGCTGGATGGGCTACTGAGCATTGAACACCATCGAAGGAATTCAGCCGCTATGGCGCAAGAATGCCAGTGGCCAGAAGGCCAATGCACTCTGTGTGGCAAGCAAATGTCATTTTGAAGCTGCCATGTTTTGAACAAAGGCACATCAAGTACATGAGGCACAGGGATCCTTTGGTCGCTCGTTCCTCTCTCGGAGCCCGCTGCCTGCTTCCTTAGGCCTGTTGCGAACACTCAACCGCTCACAAGCCATCAACTCAAAGTTCAAGCTCAACACTGTCCGTCAAAACTAGAAGAAATCTAATGTACAGGGCTGTGAGTGCCCATTTCAATGAATTCACTGGAAACAATCTCCTAGCGCCTTCAACCCATTCCATCCCACCCCGACCATGCACTTCCACCTCCCTGCATTACAGCTGGCGGGCCAAGCACTCGATCAGCAACCAGACCCATCAGTGCTCGTTAACCCACTGACACTGCCTTCACATACCTGATCCCCAGAAGCCATTGCGTCCTAAATATTAGGACACAAACCTCATGACCCAAATCTTGGGATCTGAGAGCAACATAACTTTCAATGTATGAAGAGGAACTGCTTGCCCAGCCAGATCCAAATCAAGCAGGAGCTGGGAGGAGTGTTGAAGTGGGGCATCCACCCTTTGCCCCAGCCGCCTTTCAGCCTTCCTGCCTTGTCTCACATTTCCACAATTTGTCGAAGCACCTTGTGCCTCAGGCCTATAACGCTACTGTGCCAAATAACTGAGGCCCCAAAGCGTTCAAGTTCTGGGGCGTCCAGAGGGCGTACGACCCACACACAAAACTGCTCAGTGCCTCATCTGTGCTGCTGCATCACCTGCATGGCGTCCTTGGTCTTCCCCAGCAGCCTGAGCGCAGAGCTGGCGATGTGGGAAGCTGTCAGGCCAGCCTCATCCAGCTGGTCAGTGTACGCGCCAGCATCAATGAATGTGTCAGGCAGGGTCATCGGCCGAAGCTTCACCCCACCGTCCAGCAGCCCTTCCAGCGCCATGAACGACAGCACATGGGATCCGAAGCCACCGATGGAGCCCTCCTCAACGGTGATCATCACGGGATGCTCTACCGCCAGCTGCTTCAGCAGTGGACCATCCAGTGGCTTGCAGAATCGTGCGTCCGCCACTGTGCAGGAGACGCCCATATCGGACAGCATCGCGGCGGCTTTCATGCACTCCTGCACCGCCGATCCAAACGATCGATTTACAATGGGGAACTCTATTGCATCACTCCAGCAACCACAAGGTTCTCACGGCCGCAACACTTTTAGGTGGTGACTGTGGAGTCAGTATTTGGGACTGCACTCTGTAGCTGCAACGAGGCTGTCATCGCTTTGAAGCTGCCAGGGCTGTGCCACGTGGCTTCTGGCGAATGCCATCGAAGGACTAGCACAGTGTGGCTAATGCATTGAAACACCACGCTGCATGTGCATCTCCAATATAGTTTACAGTTGAAGCACAACAGCCATGGGACCCTGGGTGGGGTATTCCCGTTGATGGTTGACACCCACACCCTAGTGAAAGGAGACAATGAGAAAATTCCATACAACCATCCACTACTTCACACTTCTTGGTTATGCACATAGCAATGCGCATAACCAAGAACTGCAAAAACTTGTCACTGAATTTCCAACTACAAAGCTGGGACACGATTCATGCTACAAAAGCTAAGTGCATTACCTTTACCATTATTGTCCGTACCTTTACAAATATTATCCACTACCAATACAAATGTTTGTTCAGGCTGCCAACAAAAGGGATACATTACAACCAGTTAGTATGTAAATAATGCCACTCAGTTGGGGCCCGGTGAGACACCTTTCATGGCTCATGGATGAAGGTTTGTCGCTGTTGACTGATGCCATCATTGAAAAGGCAGTTTACCTTCCACAAATGCAATCAAAGAGCAAAGTTCACCTGCACAGCCGACCCATAGCCAACGAGTGCAACGTCCGCGCCACCCTGTCGCACGATGCCTTTGCCAACCTCTAGCGGCACACCCTTGAGATCGTCAGTGATGCCTTCAGCAGCGAGGTCCACCCCAACACCATTGCCACGTGGATAGCGAAGACAGGAGGGTCGGTCGTTGATGGCCGCTGCAGTGGCCACCATGTGTATGAGCTCCGCTTCGTTGGAGGGTGCCATGACGACCATGTTGGGAAGGGCAGCCATGTAAGTGATGTCGAAGGCGCCAGCATGGGTGGCGCCATCAGCGCCCACCAAGCCTGCACGGTCCATGGCAAAGCGGACTGCATGGCAACATTGCTGGGTCAGATTGTCAGCCAAGGGCAAATGAACAGGCAAATCTGTCGGCTAGAGTGGGAAGTTGGTTGAGATTACACAAGGCAGGAACTTGTCAACTTAATGTGCTGTACCAAGAACGATTGTATGTGAACAAGATAGAGACAGAGATTGCAGGAAACATGCAAGCAAAAAGTAACTTCAATATGAGGAATGGTGTGTGCCATGCTGCAAACTCTGAATGAACCCCATAGCTACGCAAAAGGAGAGCAACCCCATGATAGTTCCTTCCAGTATTAATTTTGCGGCCAGGTGGAACCATAAGGAGTTTTGGCGCAAGCCGCAATCCTGCCAGCAGGCGCCAGTGCACTGCGATTCGAGCTTGGATTTTGCTTTTTTAACACTCTTATTCGCACGACTCAGTTCAATGAGAATTTTGGTCAATCAAACAGCCTTCAGCTGTTTGTCTGTTTCCATGAGGGGAACTGATGAGAAGGCCTTCACTGCCTTGGAGAAGGTATTGGCCATACACGGTGCTGCAGTCAAATGTCACCACAATCTGGTCACCAGAACCTGTACAAGCCTTTGCTTTGAGCAATGACAAGAGTTTGTGCATCCTTCCAACAGCTAAGGGGGCCAGACACCACCTGGACCCACCTGGCAGGTTCTGTAGGCAGACATCGTGCACCACTTGATCATAGCCCCTCTGCAAGAAGGTGGAATAGATCGTGCAAAATGGCACCAGGCCCTCACAGGCAAGGCCGGCAGCAAAGGTCACCCCATGCTGCTCAGCTATCCCCACGTCAAAGACCCGATCAGGGAACTTCTTCTCGAATCGGTATAGGCCAGTGCCGCCTGCCATTGCAGCATGGATCGCAACGACCCGGCTGTCGCGTTCAGCCTCAGCAATGAGCGAGTCCGCAAAGTAGTTTGTGTACGAGTCAGTCTGAAGGCAGCCAAGGCATCAATGACTTCAGTTCTGGTGAAACTGGGGCCCTTTCTGGTCAAATTATTTGTACCACACTCCAGGCGTCAGATGTTGGTCTCCTTTCCTCTTGAATACGTAAATGCAATACTCTCAAGTCAATTTCACCAGTTGTCTGACTTGTGGGATTCTTTGGTATTGTCAAACAATTACCAACGTTGTTGACATGGTCCAAATACAACAAGGGTGCTGATGAGCGATACGGACATAAGGGACCAGGTAGGCGATGGACGCTTTGTTGGCCATCAACATGGGGGCAAGACAGCCATCACACAACAACTCTCCGATGGCCCATGTGGGTGCTGCACAAACCCCCAGAGAATCAGCTTCACCCCTTTTGACAGCCACAAAACGAGCTAGAGCCCAAACACAAGGCATCTGTGTTGTGACAGACAACCACAACACGTTGAACATTATCTGTTCTGAGCACTCACCAGCCTCCTGTAGCACCAAGCAAGCTTGGGCGGACTGGCAGGGCCAAATATTCAGCACAATATGCCGCTGATAACATGTCACGATCGGTGGCTGGAGGGAAACAAGCAACGCCGATGTGGTGTATGCATCATGACCAAAATTTGCTACAAGGCTTTGGCTGTCATGTGAAAGAAATGAAATCACAAGCCTTCCATAACAAATGTGTCTGGAAACCAAACCATCTTTTCAACACACCTTGCCCTTTTTCTTGAACTGCTTGCCTGTCTTGGGGTCGTATTTGACGACGCCATGCATCTTGTCTGAGGCGCCCTCTGCGGGTAGGTACCCCCGGCCCTTCTCCGTCACGATGTGGAGCAGCACAGGGCCAACAGTCTCTGTGGCCTTGACCTCTGCAGGGCACAGTTATGCGGCAACAGCATCACCAACCCATCAACTTTCCGCTGAAGCCAATCAACACCAAGCGACCAGTCAAACTTTCATCCAAAGGGCGCCACTGCAAGCAAAGGGCCTGCCGCTGAAAAGATTAGTCTTGGAATGCCTTGACCACACTTGACAATATTGACACATCACGTTCAAGAGTGGTCTTGGCGACGGAATGCAATTTCTGCATCCCAAACTTCTGTCAGAACTTTGTCCTGAAGTATTGCCAATCTTCAACCATGTCCATCATTGTCGATTATCGAGCTATGGAAGTTCTATGCTCTATACAAGAAATGAGGTGCTATGGCAAGATCAGGGCCTGTGCATCGTTATCCACAAGTTTGCAGCACAGTTGTAAGGGAATGTAACATATTCATGGCTGCTCTCTTCTCCCCAAGCATCCAAAAACCATCCAAGTCGCGTTTCACTGCAGATGCTGGTGTTTGCATGTGAGTATGCCTGCTCAGTGCATTCCATGTTCTTGCACGAGACAATCAAGAGCTGATAGTTGTGCCTTGAGTGTCCTGGACAATATGGAGGAATGCCAAACCACCATGGGGTGGGGTGGGGTGGGCGGGGAATGTGAAGCTGAGCAGACACATCAATGGTACCTTGTGCAAACATCCCTGGCATGCCTCCCAGTAATGGAATTCACACCCGGCCAGGCCCAAAGCCACAAGAGCAGTTACCTTTCAGCACAGCAATCAGATCGTCCAGGTTGTGCCCATCGATGGGGCCGATGTAGTACAACCCGAGCTCTTCAAACAGGGTAGAGCCTGAGCCGGAGATCATACCCCTTGCGTACTCGTCGATCTTGACAGTGGCATCTTGAATGGGCTCTGGCAGCTGCTTGGTGACACCCTTTGCGATCTCTCGCAGCTCGCGCAGGGGCTTGTTGGCTTGGAGCCGGGCCAGGGCACTAGATAGGGCGCCAACAGGGTCCTGATTCCTTCCATTGTATTGTGTTGGAAGTGACACCTAGAAATCGCACTAAAAGGTCACGAGCTGCTGACTTCGTCACATTATCCGGTATGCAAGTTTGCTTGCACTTTATTTGCCAGGACTTGACATATCATTGATCAGGAACAAAAGTCGCCAACAGATAGTTGTGCAGTTATGAGCAGCACCCAACATCGTTGGATGGAGCAGAGCCCTGTCACCCAATAATTCAGTCACAGCAGAAGTCACAGAGAATCTGTGCCCTTGCACCCTTAAAGCGATGTTTCTCCCAGTGCGTCAACATCTCCCTCACACAGCTTGTCTGCAGGAAGATGTGTTGGCTGGCTGTTGTCTTGTCCACATTTTTATGTTGAACCAAACACTGCACTCCGCCTTGCCAATGCCCCAACACCAGCACAAACCAGATGCCCGCAGTGCTCTTCATAAAACTGTGGTGCTATATGCTGGAATGTGCATATGTCATATTGCATTCCCAGTTGTCCACACGAGCACAAGGCCAGACTTTTTCTAAGTTGTCAAATCACCACATTAGACACCAGATGAACAGAGTGCTTCTTGGAGGTGGGCACCATCTGTGGACACTCAATTTGAACAAAAGGATATATATGTAGACCGACAGCCTCATACGAGGTGCTGGATAACATGGTGTCTGTGCTTGCCTGTGTTCTTCAGAAGGGAATTGGACTTTGCTGACAACGGTTGCCACAGTTCTAACACTGCCTCAAGATCGCATAGACATGATCATATTTGTGGCACGCAAAATTCGCCCATCAAGCACCAACCATCGACTGGACCTTTGGATAGCAGTTTGAAAGCTGAGCAGTAGAAAGGCACTTGCCTGCTGGTTGTCATTCAGAACTACAATCATGTTCTTGTCCAAGAAGCCAGCATGATTCATGGCCTCATACGACATGCCACCTGTTATGGCCCCATCGCCGATGACGGATATGATGTGGTTCTTCTTACTCTTCAGGTCCCGGCCAACTGCCATCCCCAGGCCAGCAGACACAGATGTGGAGCTGTGGCCCGCACCAAAGGGGTCATACGGAGACTCAGATCGTTTTGTGAAACCTGGACACACCATGAGTGGTGAGAAATTTGAAGCAACAATTGATGGGATGTGCTATCAGAGCACAGCCTAATCAATATGTTGTTGGTATCAGAAATTTCGAAACTTTGGTCCTTGCTGCAAGGGAGCGCTGCCCCAAAGCAATGGAGACATGCCTCATGTCATCGCAGAGGCCGATGCCTGGGGATTCTGTTGGTAACAATCTTGTGTTTCATATGCTTTTCCACCGCCCACTACCAAAACAAAGGGCCAAAAATGACAGCCCTCTCATAAAGCACAATCAGCCTGACCTGACTGACTAAAAGACACATCAAGTACATGGAACAAACCATTCTTTAGGTGCAGCAAGACCATCCCCATCTTGTAGATTCTGGACAGTGCTTTCCCTTTTGACAGATGAAACCAGCAGAAGTGTAGATGTATCACAGCCCACCGCAGAGACAAAGCTTGATGGAACACGTGCACATAGTACAAATGCTTCACCCCCCTGCAGGGCAGCACATCGCCTCTTTTCAGAGATATTTTCTACATTTCCATTATTAACGGAACCGCTAATATTTGTACTCTACACTATTATGATGCGTACTGTTGGTACATTGCTCTCACCAGACAGCCCCCCTGTCTGCCTGATCGTCTTCATCCTGCTCCTCCTTCCAGTCAAGATCTTGTGTCCATAGCACTGGTGGCCCACATCCCATATAATCTTGTCCTCTGGCAGGTTGAACACATAATGCAGGGCCACTGTGAGCTCCACGACACCCAGGCTGGCTCCCAGGTGGCCGCCTGTGCTGGACACAGTGTGGACGATGTCCGAACGAAGCTCCTTGCACAGTTGCCTGAGCTGGCTGACCTTCAATCAAGGCCCCAACACGCACACTTCAATGCCATGGGCATGTTTGGGTGTTTCAAGAAGCTGATTGAGCATTTGAGATAAAGTATATTGAAATTGTGAGGAACACGCATCGTCACCCAGGAAGGTGAAGGGTCACTGCTTTGCCCATTTTGTACGTGCAATAATCAAAGTAAAACAGTTTCAGAGCCACAGTGCGACAATTCAACCACTGTGAATTGTCACAGGGGTCAAAATGCAATCATTCAGCATAATCTGGGGTTCCAAATTGTGGATTCAATCAACCCGCAGGCACACAAATCGGCCTCAAATTGTGCCTTACAAACAGTTCCAAACACAAAGCCGACATTCAATGAAGAGTCCATAACAGCCACTTGCACAACAGAGCTACACTACTGAATCGCACTGGAACCATTGCTTTTGCTATCAAACTCCAGCGACCCTCTTGAATAACACCATTTCTCAAGTAGTCAACTCAAGCGCCCCAAGAATTAACATCCTGCATTCCCCTCAAGCTGTCACCCAGAATTTGGATGCCAATTAGGATTCTATCCCTGATGTGGGCATCAGTCTGTTCAGCTCACCATAACCAGTATCAGCTGGATATGATTAACAAAACCCTGATGACTAGCCCGCCAAGAATACAACTTCGCAATTCTTTCTAACAAGAAGGTACCACCTTTCTGAATGATGGGCGTTGATCAAAAAGCCTCTAACATTGCACACAGAATTGCGTTGCCATGTGTTGTCATGTTTGCCAAACACACTGCTGTAAGCTCGAACAATTCAGCAGTCCTTTCCACCCAAGGCCCAGTGAGCCACAAATGAGGCGAGCCGACACTGCAAACCGTAGTGAGTCCAGCAGCCAAAGCAATGACGCACTTTAGCCAGCAAGTCTGGCAAAACGAGCGTTGCGCAAACCGCTCTGTGTCCAGCAGCCGAAGCAACGACGCGCTGCACCCACCTTGAAGTTCTTCATGTGCATGGGGAAGTTGACAGTGTCCAGGAGGGGCGTCGGCGGGCCACCCTCCTTCCAAGCGCCGATCTCGTCCTCAGACAGCTTGTCGAGCTCGCCCTCGCTGGCCCCCAGGCCCCCCAGGCCGGGGCTCCGGCGGGATGCGGCGGCCACGGCGGGCGCATCGCGCCTTCGGCGGTCACCTCGAGGGGGGGGCGCCCGGCCGGGCCCTGGCCGGAAACCCGTTCCATTGGTGAGGTGCTCACCATCTGAACTCATGATTGTCAAATTTTGCGAGCGACACTGTTCTTTTGGCGAGGGCAAGCGCGGATCAGAGAGCCAGTTTGATGGCCTCGGCGTGTGGGAGACAAAAGGGAGGGGGCGGCGCCCGGTTTGCTTATTGGCGTGATGGCAAACGTTGCACCCGGAATTCGCGGCGGCGTGAGATCAGACAATCACAACGTGCAGCTCGGCGCAGCTCGTGTGTCCAGGACGCAATCGGTGCAGCTCGGCGCAGCTCGTGTGTCCAGGACGCAACGGGAGATTCACCAAAAGGATCATGGCCGGTTGTGCTCTGCGTTCGCAAGGAATGGGAGGGGTGCAACCACAGCGCGGCTAATGGTTCGTGCGGCAGCAATCGCTGGTCTCGCACGGACGGGGAAAGAAACAAGGAAGCCAGCATCGGCCACGCGCAGGGGAGGAATCATCACGGGTGACGTGAAAAATCGGCAAAGAAATATTGAAATCTTCCAGCCGCTCACCAGCCACCAGCCTTGGCAGTCCCAGCGGTGCGCATCCCTGAAACGGCAGCGGACACAGACACAGGCCCCGCTCATCAGCCAAGAATCAAAGGCGACGGCCCGCGGCGGACGCAGTAAGCTAGCCCGTCGCGACCGGTGCTCCACCCGTCACCCCTCCACCAGATGCGCGCCTCCATCGACTCTCTGCCCCCACGTGCCCCCCACGTGTGTTCACAAAAATCCCCCACCTCCACGCCGCCCAGCCACGTCAGAGGCGCAAAAGATCGGCCCTGCGCCCTCAGACGCGCCGTGCGCCTCTGATCGACGCCGCGGAGCGGGGCGAAATTACTTCCACCCGTTCCGCTCGGCCGGTCCTCACATCCGTCGCCAGGCACAGGCGGCGGGATGCGGCGAAATGGCCGCTTCCGGCGGCACAGCGCTTCGCTTTGCGACTCACCTTTTCGGGGAGAAGGCCGGCGGGGCGCATCGTGGGGCCGCCGCGCGGTGGGTGCCGAGGGCGTGGCCTGCAGGCCCTGGAGACGCGCCCGATCTCCTTTCGATGCCCGTTTTGGTCTCAAATCTCTCAAGAAGTATCTGTCAAGCGACGTCCCCGGGTCGAAGCGGCGGAGCCGGGCATGCGCTGGCGGAATTGGGGCCTCAAGAAACACGGCCGTGCCGCCCTTACCGCCCGTGGGAGTCGTCGAAGTGGGCCTTTCCCTCCTCTAATTTGCGAAGCGATTGACGCCTTATCCGCAAGGTGCACTGAGTGAGCTTGGGGGGACAATCGGTGTGACCAGCTTCCAGGATGGCTGGGACCCCCTGGACAAAACTTGTACTGCACGAGGCGCCACGTGTCGAGTTGCGGACGCGTTACAAAACGGTCGAACGCGCGAAATCACCTCCGTGTAGAATTCTGGAGTTTCCGTTTGTTGCCTTTGGCAAGGCGAAGTCGTCAGCAGGCGCCTGGGAATGAGTATGGCACGGAACGCCAGCCGCAGCGGCACGACATGCCCCTTCCCGCCTCAGGCTCTCCCTGTCTATCTCGCTTTCCAGGCCCTTGTATGAGCTGAATTGTCCTCTGTGAGCGTAGAGAACAACCCCCAAGCACGTCGGAATAGCTGTGCTGTAACGGCTGCAACCAGGTGCGAAGGTAGTGTCGTGTCATGCTTTGATGAGAGTGACTGGCAAGGGTTTTTGCTTTGCCGCACGCCGAACGGAGTGCTTAAGACGGATTGCGCACCAGTTGCAGTGCGCCAGAAGGCCAGGCAGCCACTTGCCCTCCCCTGCCGGGGCCATGGGCGTCAATACGCTTATCATATTTCGACGACAGTTTGCCACTAAATTCAGTACCCCTACACATCTTCCACACAACAGCAACCCCAGGATGAAGCAGGACTGGCGCGTCCTTGGCTCAAGGACACATGGCAGCAGAGAAGGAAACGACGACTGTTGAATCAACCAGTAAGCTTCGCACGTCAAGGCAAAGACGCAGCTGTGAGTTCCCGTATCCCAGGAAGAGCTGCGTCCTCTTCTCGTCTAATATCCGCGCAGAGCACCGCAGCAGCGTACACAGAATCCCGGTCAGTGGGGCCCAGCAGTACCCGGAATCACACGTGATTCTGACTGCCCAATACCCTCAAATCATCCCGGCTGTCTCTCACCACGAATTTCTACCCAACAAAGCAGGCAGGCAGCCGTCAGCTTCCTACCTCTTCCTTAACCCTGGCCGGGTGGTGTCGGTAGAGCAGTGGGACAGCCCCTCAGAGGTACCCGGTTCGACCACGGTCAGGCATCATCTTTACTACTATCCGCACTACAGCACTATCCCTCCCGCTCGGGCATGTACCTCCTCAACCATTCCACGGCCAGTTCCACGGCCCTCTTCGCCCCCTCCCCTTCCCTCCGCGCCCCGTCGTGCACGAACCCGTGCCCCTCCCCCGCGAACACCTCCACCCTCCCCCTCCGCCCCTCCGCCTGCCTCCCCACCCCCCGCGCCACGTCCTCCACCGCCTCCCTCGGCACCAGCGGGTCCAGCTCACCAAACACGAACAGCACGGGCGCCGACAGCCCGTCCACGGCCTCTGGGTCGATCCTGGTGCCGTAGAACGACACCCCGGCGGCGTACTTCCCCTCGCCGTCGCGCGCCAAGACTTCCACCAGCCTGCCGCCGCCGATGCAGTACCCGACGGCGCCGCAGCTGCCCACCTTCATCTCCTCGGCCAAGTGATGCCGACATGTGTCCCCGATGTCCCAAATTCTCTCGTAGGGGCGCGCCTGGCGCGACCGCCAGGTCTCGAAGTCGGGGGAAGACGCGGGCTTGTCCGTTGGCCACGGCGTGCCGTTGAACAGATCGGGGATGATGCAGCAGAAGCCGTGGGCGGCCAGGCGGTGGGCTTGGGTTCGCATGGGCTCGGTGTTGTGGCCAAAGACGTCGCTGAGGACGACCAGGCCGCCATGCGGGGGGGTGGCACCGGGCGGGGGGACCACCAGGGCGTCGAAGTCGGGCCAGCGATTGTTCAGGTTAGGGAGGCGTACGGCGGTCTCCCGGCCGCGCTCCATGTGGGGCTGGGAGCGGGTCGGATTGGACGCCTGAATCGTGGGCGGTCGTCCGCCGAATCGCCGCAACAGCGAGGTGTAGGGCCCGAGGGCGGGCATCCAGTGGGCCTTGCAAGAGTTTCGAGCAGGAAATGTGACTCAAGTCGAGCGTTTTGATGTTGGGAGCGAAGTGCTCTACCTTTGACAGGGAGGCCTGTTGAAGCATTGCTTGGAAGATGAATGGTGAACTGGGCAACTTGGTGTCTGTTAGCCAGGCTCCGAGGGATTGCGGCCCTGGTGATCGCATAGTCTGCAGTTTTGGTGCATGAGAAATGATGTGGCAGTGCATCACAATCAGCTCGAGCCAAGAGATGCACAGTGGAGCCAGCCTCATTGTGCATATATAGGCAGTTTGTCAGAATGATCAAAGTACGCCGATCGCCAGCTGGCGAGCGACAGAAACTTTCAATCTGTCCCAGTGACGTGTACCAACAAATCCCCAGGGCTGTGCCTGTTTGGTCTCATATCTTCTTGCAGATTTTAAGAGTTTCTGTTTTCCTTTCGTCAGTGCCTCATGGCCTAAGTTTGGGGTATAACATGGTACATGGGAACACCTGAACGAATCCACCCCGACACCAACTTGAAGATCTCAGATACACAGGCAACATGATCTTGCTGGCGGTCTATAAGGAACTCACAATGCTTGCCAAGATGGGAGCACTTGTAGTTCAGGAACAAACAATTATGATTGTGGACAACAACCAACATCCCCAATGGTTGAAAGGGCGGAGGTTTGTCACAATTTAATGACTGCAAACAAACAGGAACATCACCATGCATATTCGAGCCTAAAAGAGCAACCCCTTGCCCTGACTGGGCCAAAGGCTACAAAAAGATTCCTCAATGAAACCATGCTATCCGACGCTCAACTCGACTGGTATTTCTTCCGGTCTGTGTGGAGGAACACACGCCATGCTACACATCACATCATTGACTCCTCCGACGCGTTCAACGGAACTATAGGTACAAGAGCGACAATTTGTAAAAAAGGAAACGCCAAATTCGAAACAAAAAGAGTCATAGCCCGTTGATCACCAGACGCAATGCCAACAACTGTAGGCATCCCCCGCCTGGATACTGAACGCTGAGCGAACACTGATATTTTCTATCCCATTGTCTGGGACCCCACATCGGCTCGTGCTGGAAAAGGATCCCGTTGTGCTTTACGATTTGCGGGGGAGCTCCCTGCTTAGATCAGCGTGTAATGCATTGGAATTGAAAAAAGCAAAAACACTGTTGGCACATATTTGTCGTTCGAGGCCCAGGTTTCCGGTCAAGCCTACTTTGCCGGTTTCTCTTCGTCATCAAAGAGACAGTCTGCGCCTGTTCCGGTGTCCAATCGCCCCCCACCCACCCACCCGGGCTGTCGCCGGGATGCCACGCCCATTCGAAATGCCGCACCCACAAGTGATCCCCAACTGGTTTCCGACTCTTGGACGTCGAGCACCCCTCGAAATGCACATTCGGAACGCGTCGAGCGCCGCACACAGTCACCAATCAACACTCCTCCGCCCACACCCCTCGCCACCGATCACGGGCGCAACCCGCCACCCCGATCCCAATCCCAACCTTGCACAGACTTCCAAGCCACCGGCCCTCCGGCGCCCACCTGTTCGACAACGTGGCGCCGGGCGTCGCCTCGAAGAACGACGGCCGCGAACCGCCACGACAGGCCACCCGGGCGGCGGCCTCCGGAGCGCCTGGCGCAGGTCCCTCGACTGGCAGCAACCGCACGATCCCCGCCCGAATCCCACAACCGATGCTTACGTCAAGTCCTAGTCAGGATCTGCTCCCCACCAACCCACATATCACCCCGCACGGGTGCGGCCCTTGTGCGCGAGGACAAGGACGGGCACAAGCAGCTCACAAGACCGCCTCACCGCCTTGCCTTCACGACCACCCGACGGTCCGTCGCTCCCGTTTTCGAGGCTTGGAACTCTCGCATTGGCTGCAGCCATGGCGACCCCCCAGGCACTCGTCTCAGAGTTCGTCGGCCAGGGGATGAACAGGGCCACGCGCAGGTCGCTCGGTGGGTGTCCTAATTTTCGCACCGCTCCTCTCGGACCTCTCTTTGGCCGCTGGACAGGGAGCCGCGGAAGGATTGGAAGTTTGACGCGGTGCGACTGTGGATTGGGATCTGAATGCCGTTGCCTTCGCAGGTCGCGCGCTGGTGACTTCTGCTCGCGCCCTCGGCAAGAGGCACCAGGCGGCCGTCCGATCGGAACTGGTGAGGTGTTGAAGCGAAAGGCGTTTCGCGGCGGGCGAAGGGAGGGCGGTTGGTGGGAGCGCTGCTTGGCGTTTGGATCGCGGCATTTTTGCTGGGCATTGGGGGCCATTGCATGGCTTGGCTTAAACCAAAGACTGGCGGGGTGCCGCGCTGGAGGCGTTTGACTGCGCTGCCAGCGCGTACGCACCTGCTGCCTCCTTTTGGTTGATTGCCTTCGCCGGGATTTGCTGTGGGTTTTGCGAAGCTGAATGCCATGATATGTAGGAAGTCCTGAGGCAGTGATCTCATTATTCCTGCACTGGCCGTCGTTGGAGGGTCGCTTCGGGCCGCGGGCGTCTTTGGTTCCTTTCCAACATGCACACCAGTCAGGGCGTTTTTGCCATTGGATCTTACTAATGAGAAATTCTACAACCTAGCAAAGGTTGAGAGCTGTGAGCGGGCATTTTTGCGCCATGCCCAGGCTGGTTTTTGCATAATCTAGATTGCTTTATCCCCAGAAACATCTGCCGCTGTTGTTCCAGCGTTGAAGAGGCGTAGGGATACAAACCTGTCGTTTGTGGTAACCTTTTTGGCTTGTGGGAAACTGTGGCCCTCCTCTGCTTCATGACTTGTTTGTGTTGAAACAGAAGAAGAACAACCAGAGAGATCCAGACTCGAGGCGCGATGTGCTCAAGAAGTAAGGCACCTGTTTGCTCCGCCTTCTGCTTCTTATTTGAATTGCTTCATCACAACCGTCAACAAAACCAAAGCGGAGGAAAATAATTTCATCACAAGGCCAAAACGGCGATCTCTCTGAAGCACTGTTTGTACCCTCATGTCTAGTGTTGACACTTCCATTCCACTCCCTTTGTTGTGTAGATCTCTATACACAGTGTTGGAATCAAGACGTAGCAGTCACCTAAGCAAAGAGCAGCAAAACTTCCACTGGCCCATTTATCATTAAGATACATTTTGAACATGTCGATTAAGCTTACCTCAAGTGCATGCCCTCTGTGTTTCTGTAGTGCGCTTCTCACTGCCGCCGCGTTCCTGCCAGCTGCCGCCGCTGCACAGGCTGACGACAGCGCAAACACTGCATCCTCCCGGATGTCCTACTCCCGCTTTCTGGAGTACCTTGACATGGGCAGAGTTAAGAAGGTAACATGACAATCTGCTTGGACTGTTGTTGCCAAGAATGTGAAGAATTGCTGGTATTTGTGCCCAGTAGGCAAAGTCATGTGGACAGGGTCACAATGCACATCGGCCAAATTTTGTAGTACAACCAACCCTTTCGCATTTGGAAACTTTGGCGTTCCCACTTTGCTCTGCATTTTTTCTCCGGACCTTTATTTTAGGGACTCGGCATCATGGTCATAGCCGGTTTTGGCGATTTTGCTCATTTCACATGGCCTCGAACGCTGTTTTTTTTTTCCTTTTTTTTCCCGCAGAAACTCATGCATCCTGGGCCACTAGACGCCATGAGCACTCTGAGGACCCTCGCGTCGTAGCTGGGGCTGCTCCACATTTTTTCGGCACTGTTACACTTTTATCATTGCACCGCATTAAAAGGCCGAACGTTATGTTACAATGCGGAAGGGAATAGCATGCCATGGTAAGATAAGTTATCATGCTGCACCTTTCATCGCCTTGAGAATGCTATTGTGTTGTGGTGCGTGGTTTTTACGACTGTCGCCCAAGCACATAAATCTCCCTGGCCCAGTGTCATGTCCAGCCGCTGGGTGTTTGCATGGTGCCGGAGCTGGCCATGTACACGTCGCGGCTGTACCGCACTCAGGTGCATATCTTGCACAGTGGCGTGTACATCACTGCCTTGTAATTTGCAAGAAACGAGCGTTCAGTTGCAGGAATACAGGAATGTTGCGAGTTCTGTGGGTTGTGAATTCAAGATTCTTAGAACAGAGAAGGCAGTATGGAACACAGAATTGCAGGAGCTCTGCTCCTTGACAGAGAATCACCTGATCAGCAGGTGGGTATGTAATCTGAGATTTTTGAGCGGTTCTTGCTGCCGCAGTGACATGTGTTGTTGAGCCATTATTTGAAGTCGTGCCCTGTTATACAAACACATCAAGGCTGCAAGACTCAATGACGTCAATATTTCGTTGGCAAATTCTCTTTTCTTTAGACCATCTCATTGTTACAATTTGTTTCAAGCTAGGAGTCACATCCCTGAGCTTGCGGCTGCCGCCGACAGGTTGACCTGTACGAGAATGGGACTATTGCCCTGGTGGAGGCGGTGTCCCCAGAGCTGGGCAACCGCATTCAGAGGGTGAGGGTGCAACTGCCAGGCCTCAGCCAGGAGCTCCTCACCAAGTTCCGTGAGAAGAAGGTCGACTTTGCTGCCCACACGGCCAACGAGGACGGTGGTGCTGTGGCCCTCAACCTCCTTGGTGCGTGACAACAGCGGGCTATGTCTGCGCACGGCATGACATTGCTTTTGCATGTCGATGCTGGACACCTGCTTGCAGCATGGCGACTTCTGTTTGGGCTGCCCCTGTGTTGAAACTCAGAGCATCTTGTGTGTGCACCTCTTTTGAATTATGATCTGTCTTCGATTGTTCAGTAAGGCCATATAAAGGTTTGTCATGAGGTTCACTCTAGCTTCCAAATCTGTGTGCTTTATAAACGGGAGGTGCCACTCAAGCTGCTGGAAACAGATGTCTGTCCAATTTATGTCCTGTGACTGGCATGCAGGTAACCTGGCTTTTCCTCTGTTGCTGGTTGGCGGACTCTTTCTGCTTTCGAGGAGGGGAGCTCAGGGAGGCATGGGTGGGGGCCCTGGCAACCCCATGAACTTTGGCAAGTCCAAGGCCAAGTTTGAAATGGAACCCAACACTGGTGTGACGTTTGATGACGTTGCTGGCGTTGAGGAGGCAAAGAATGACTTCATGGAGGTGAGAGGCTTGAAGATGTGATCCCCTGGGCAGTTGAAAATGTAGCCGGGGCAATATATACAAGAGTCGGTAAGCTTTTGGTGAGGTGGGAGGTCATCTGAAGAGAAGTGCCACTGTGCACAGCCTGCCAGTAATAAATGGATGTTGGTAGGGCGATGACTGTTCAGTGCTGTTTGCTGGTGGAACGTTGTGTTGTGGTGTCTGCCTAATAGGATTTGTATCAACTACTGATGCGCACAAGGGCATCAAGAACCTGATGTCTATCGGACTTTCATGGTGCTTTGGGGTAATGCTTTGTCACATATTTTGACATATGCAGCTTAGCGAAAGGTGGCCACTACCCATGGCCGTGGTTGTGCTGTGCACAACCAGTCTTGCGTAAGAACGAGAGTGTGAACTATCTTCTGAATTGTATGCATTGTATGCATTTTGTACCAGCGGATGCAGTAATAACTGCTTGGCTAAATTATAGGTCAGGCATAGCTAGTTGTCACAAACTTGCTACTGACGGGAGGCCTTGGTGTGGGCCTCAGATCGTGGAGTTCTTGAAGCGACCAGATCGGTTCACCGCAGTGGGTGCCAAGATCCCGAAGGGCGTCTTGCTGGTGGGGCCCCCGGGGACCGGAAAGACTCTTCTGGCGAAGGCCATCGCTGGGGAGTCAGGCGTGCCCTTCTTCTCCATCTCGGGATCCGAGTTTGTGGAGATGTTTGTGGGAGTCGGCGCATCCCGCGTCCGAGACCTCTTCAAGAAGGCGAAAGATGTGCGTGGCCATTGGCAGTGGAGCAGTGGGGTTCTAGAGTATCTGTTTAATTGATGTTGCCACAATTGACAACAGTGTTTCTTGGGATAACATGAATACAGGAGTGTGAAGAGTAAGCAATGGACTACAAGTAGCGTTGTTGTGAAGAAGAGTGAAGAGTGCCAGTGAAAAGTGTTGTGAGTATCCGGAAAAGTGTTGTGAGTATCCGGACAAGTGTAACTTCTGTGCCATCACTGGTGTTGGTGGATTGCACCCTGAGTGGGCATCCCATTCACCACAATTTCTAGGCCCACTTGCAGACATGCCAGGACTTTCCTCTGCATTGGTTAGCCTCTCTATGTGAAACATCGCAACCTGTTTATGGGCCCCCCATGTCAAGTAGCTGGCCTCCTTTTTGTGCACCTCTGTGACTACACCTCCATAAGCAACGATCCTCTTGGTACATATTCCAGCTCGTCCATTTTCTCTGCAGTCAGTGTGAGTCAAGTTCAAGGAACTTCATGTGTGTATTTCTGCAGAACGCCCCCTGCTTGGTTTTCGTGGACGAAATCGACGCAGTGGGCCGATCTCGTGGAACAGGAATCGGGGGTGGCAATGATGAGCGTGAGCAGACGCTCAACCAGCTGTTGACTGAGATGGATGGCTTTGAGGGCAACACAGGTGTCATCGTCATAGCTGCCACCAACAGGTCCGACATATTGGACCCTGCGCTGCTGCGGCCGGGGCGATTCGATCGAACGGTACGTGCTTCTTGCCTGCTTGTATAGCTCTATTGTCTTGATGCTATGCTGTTCGGATGTATGGGCACGTTCTCTTGAGGACCAAAGATATGGCTGTACTGCTGCCGTATGATTCGATGCATGCACAGCAAATGCATCTGAGTATGCGCACGTAATGCACTGGTCATTGCTAGCCGATCAGATCAACAATTTGTTTGGCAAAGAAGCAGAAGCAGAAACGTGTCATAGCAGCAGGAGCAGCACATGCTGGCGTTGTGTTGTGAGTCCAGCTGTCCATGTCTGCTTTCCTCAGTGCCTTCTCGGCACTTTGCGATCAACTGGTAAATGCGTCGAGCTCCATGAGGTGGCTTAGCTTGTTGAAACGTTTGGCAAATGTCACAGCGTATGTTTTCCGCCTGTCTTGTTTTGATCTTTTGGTTATTGCCGCACAGTTCCACCAAAGGCACTGTAGTCACCTGCAAAGGCAGAAAATGTAAGAGAAAACCGAACAACTACTGAAAGAATCATGAATATGCAAGTAGAAAAACAGAAAGAAACATAGAGTAAAAACAGAAATGCAGAGAAAAACATTCTGCCAATGGTACTCTTGTGTGGCACAGGAAACTGGGAAATGTGTTCTCACAGTCCTGGAAAAATGTTGCGAATCCTCGTTTGCTGGAAGTTGCTTGATAGTATGCTGTGGGTGTAGGTGACTGTGGACGTGCCTGATGTCCGTGGCCGCAAGGACATCCTGGGAGTACATGCCCGCAACAAGAAGCTCAGTGATGAGGTCGACCTGGAGGAGATCGCCCTGAGAACACCTGGCTTTTCTGGAGCTGACCTGGCCAACCTGCTCAACGAGGCGGCCATCCTGACTGGTCGCCGTGGCCTGAATGCCATCACCATGAAGGAGGTTGACGACTCAGTGGACAGGATCGTTGCAGGTGAGCGGTGTCACTTTCATCTGGCAATATGGGGGGCATGAACAATAGCAGGTGGGGAAAGTAAACCATGGAAAGGAACAACACAGGTAGCAACGGTGCAGAGATTCCAACGACGTCAGCAGTCTTGAGGGACTGCTGTTGCTGTCCTTTTTGCAGTTTCTTGAAGCCAAGTTGGCTGCAATTGTGCTCAGAAGGGGTGTTCGAAGTTACCTGTGGAAATGATGGCACCACATGAAGAGTGTCGATGTATATAGACAGTGGCACATTGGACAGATGCGTGTGGAGAGCACAGAATGCACTATGGCAGATGGCCATGGCAGTTGGTAGGGAATTGTTGCACTGGCACTCAGCTTTGTTGGCCACCGATACCGTTGGAAAACCCCTCCACAGTGTAGACAGCGAGCGTAGATGACGATGTCAGTGCAGTGCATCACAAAGTTGCAATGCAAGTAACACACCTTTAGGGTACACAGTTTCAGTGTGTCGATCCCATTCGAAGGCTTCCCGATTATCAACACATCCATGTGGCATATGTGCCTATGGCACCACTCTCCATCTTTCCTCGTTCACTGATCACCAGAGGCGCAAGGCCTCTACCTCGTCGCTTTCAACCATGCCAGTCATAAGATTTGCACCTGCCACCTGGGTGAGATCGCCTCACGCACTTCTTGGCACATGGCCGTGTTTCTCAACAGGAATGGAGGGCGCCCCTCTGGTCGATGGCAAGTCCAAGTCCCTGGTGGCCTACCACGAGGTTGGCCATGCCATTTGCGCTACCCTCAGCCCTGGCCACGATGCTGTCCAGAAGGTGACCCTCATCCCACGTGGACAGGCCCGGGGCCTCACGTGGTTCCTCCCCAATGAGGACCCCAGCCTCATCAGCAAGTCAGAGATCTTTGCAAGAATTGTTGCGGCACTGGGTGGTCGGGCAGCAGAGGAGGTCATCTTTGGCCACGATGAGGTCACGTCTGGGGCTGCCAGTGATCTGCAGCAGGTGGGGAAGGGATGATCGCTGTGCTGCACCATGCTGAGGGTGCGTATTCTCTTTGCGCTACTGGCAGTAAGATGGTGCCATGGTGTTAGTTATGGGTGACTTGGCACTGACGAACTGCAGCTGGTCAATGAGCCATGGGAAATGAACTCAACTGTTTTCTGCTGCAGTCTTAATGGAGGCCACTGGCTGGCCATGAAAGTGCAGTTCAAGAATCACCCACCTGTTTCCATATTCCTCAACAGAAACTGATATATGTGGGACTGGTGGAACAAAACAAGTCGACTCCCTCTTTTTATAACAGGTCAAAGACTGCAAGAACATCTTGGGTGAGGCAAAGAACCTGATGGGATTTCCTTCAAGCTTTGCAGGTCACTGGGATGGCCAAGCAGATGGTGATCACCTACGGCATGTCTGGGATTGGCCCCTGGTCTCTGGTGGACCCCAGCGCCATGTCTGGAGACGTGGTCATGCGCATGATGGCGCGCAACTCGATGTCCGAGGACCTCCAGAACCAGATTGACGAGGCTGTGAGGGGAATCGCTGAAGAAGCGTACTCAAGGTTGGTGTGGTTGCCAGCTCCTTTTGCAGCTGCTGTGCTGGAGCTTGCACCAGGCACTAACAAATCATGGGGCGCGATTCACCAATGTTGAGGGGTTCCCAGTGCCCTCAAGATGACTGAATTCGCTGCGTGGCATTAGAAGGGCTCGTGAACGTGGTGGGAGGGGTTTGGCCTGCGAGTGTCTTGCATTTCTAACCTATGCCAACACTACTCGCCTGCAGTGCTTCAAAAGTTTAGTTTCATCGAATTTGTCAACGTGTTACCGTATGGCAGATACAAATAGTGCTGCATTTCTTCTTGAAATTGCCAGTTTAAGTTCAACCTCATCAAAAAGAAGGCTGAGTCTAGCCGATCCTTTGCTTGCTCCAGGGCGCTGCAGATCGTCCGGGACAACCGCCTGGCCATCGACGCAGTTGTCGAGGTGCTGGTGAAAAAGGAGACGCTCACTGGCCAGGAGTTCAGGGATATCCTGGCGCAATACGTGGAGATCCCGCCAGAGAACCTCCCCAAGGAGGCCTCTCTCCTGGCAGCATAGGCACTTGGACAGACGCAGACACGCTCGTCTGTGGTGTGCAGTGTCAGCTGCTGCATGCTGTCAAAACCTGCTTGATGCCTCGCAGTTGGGCTGCCTGTGAACCATCAAAACGGGCTTCTGGTTGGGAGGGGTGGCGGGGGAGACGGCCCTGTATCTTTGGGTTGGGTGCTTGCGATGTCTTTGGCATGGGGCAGAAGGGGAGAGCACACCACTTTTTCAGCGCTGCCTTCTCAGTTTTGGATTCTTTGCATTCTTTGCCTGCGAACTGTGCATGTTGGCAGCCTGGATTCCAGTCGTGCGGAACGAGCTGCTCTGTTGTGTTACTACACTTTGCTGGGCGAGTCACCCTTGCAACGTGGACAAAACAGGCCCTCAGCGGTGACTGCCATATCCGGTCTCGTCCATGAAGCTGCCCATGAAGCCCATCGTCACAAATCAGGGTGCACGCGATCTGCCAAGTCGGCTGGCCCATATTCCAATCAGCCCATCACACTTGTATTTGCTTGCTCCCGCAAGGTGCAGGGGCCCCCGCTTTGCCTTTGGCAGGTAAGCAGAACAACACAATGGTGCCTTGTCGAGCGTGAGGAGTAAGAATATGCGGAGAAACAGGCACTGCTTTCCGCTCAACATGTCCATTAGCTTGCGTCTTTCCTCCCCCGTACATTTCTGTCGCCTCGATGAAGACATGACAGTAGAAAAGGGGAGAAGCCAATGAAACAATTTCAGTGCGAAAGCCCTGATAGCTGATCATCAGCTGGTCCGCCACAGGGCGGTTCCCGAGGCTTGCACAATTCTGCTTGGTGCCTGTTAGCCCAATCCTTGGCTTCTTGCACATGGATGTCCTCGGGCCACGAGGACATCCACCGTCATGCGTCCAACCACCCTCCTGCCAGGAGAGCGTCTCGTGCCCACACCCCGAAGGCTGCAGAGCCACAGTCAAAGCCGTCACCCTGCCTTTGCAACACTGACGTCCCTCACCCCCCTTCCCCACTTCTGTCAGTCGACGCGCCGTGGATCTCTGGCTGTGCATCCCTGGAGCCTCTCGGCAATCCACCCCACTGGCACCAACATCCCCCCACCCCCACCTCACCCCCACCCCACCCCACCCCATACCGGTCCTAAACGTGGCTGTGAAACTCTTGCGAAGAACGTTCCCATTGCGCAATGGCTGTGTTGGCCATGTGCTGTCACATGACCCCACCTTTAAATTCAACTGCGCCATGATGTGCCAAGCTTTGCGGGCGCGGTCGCAGGCCCACCTCGCAGTTGCCCACCTTGCGGCCGCGCGGCGGGCGTGGCCGGCGTGGACGGCCCTGCGCTGCTCTGCTGCCGCTCTATGGTCGCCCGGCTCTCCCTGTAGTACTGATTGGGGTGCTGAACGCCCGCGTCACAGGGGCAGCCGTGCTTCCCTTCCCATGCGGCACCACACGCAAGTTGGTAGTGCCCGGCCTTCGCTTTGTTCACCGCCTCAGTGATCGACCTGGCGGAAACACTGGGACGTCATTGGGAAGGGGCTGGGACGTCATTGGGCCTGGCTGCCCTGTTTTGTGGAGAGCCCGAGTGGCAGCGCGCGAATTGTAAGCCAGGGGCCAATGGGGCCAGCATCGCGCCCAGTGGCAATGCTTCTGCCAACAATTGTCGACAGAAATATCCCCATATTTTCAGTGGTATCTGCTCCACATTTCTCTGCTGTAAGAGGGAAAATATGGAAATAATTCACAATGAATACATAGGGTGGAAGTATATGCAGTCCGCGAAAGGGGGTGGTCGCTCGTATGCCCGCTGCGTCGTGCACCGTATCAGCCACTGCCCACCTGGGCGCAACATTGAGCCTCGACAGTGCGGCTCGCAGCTGCGGCTCGCTGAAGGTCTTGTACGGGCAGCCATGGTGCTCGCCCACCTGGGGCGTCATCGACACCAGCTTGATGCAGCTGTAGGGCGAGAGCTCCTGCCGCTTACCCTCCTTCCCGTAATTGTACCGGATGTTGTACGCATACTCCTTCTGGAACTTTTCCAAAGGGATCTTGGGCGCGAACTGGGTCTGCCAGAATTGCAGCGCGTCTGACAGGGAGAGGCCGATCCCCTGGCATTCGAGAAACAGGGGGTTGGTCCTCGCTGGGTCTTCATCAACATTAAGGGAAAAAACAATACCTGCAAGAGCCAAAGGTATCCGCAATGGGCGGCGTTACCTGCAAGGGGCAGCCGTGTGGCCACTATGCGCAGTGAGATCCTGTCCCATGCCTTGTGAATGATTAAAAATAACAATAAGACAACAATACCGTGATGGCTTTAAGAGCCAGGAAGCGGCACAACATGAAAGTGTGTCTAGAAGCAGCTGTAGAGAGCTGCATGAATTCGGCAGGCTGCTGAGTGATTACCTTGAGGAACAGCGACAGCTGCATCCTGCCCTGGTGCCGCAGGTGGCTGTCCTGTCTTAGCCGTTCGAAGAGGTGCTGCATGCAGAGGGGGAAGGACTTGTACGCCAGGGAGGGCAGCTGTTGGATGGTTGCGCCCTCACCAACACTTTCCCCAACCTCGGGTCCCAAGTACCTGTATGTTGGCAGAACACACAGGAGTTCACTTCTCTTATCTCTTCCTTTCCTTGCTGTAGTGGATGCATTCATAAAGCCGTTTCCTTTGCTTCCACTCCTTCCAGACCGCTGTTTGGAAGTGATGCAAAAGAGTGGAGTATGCACTTACGAGCAAATTAGGGGCAAACGAGATATTATTTGTGCACATGCGTACTGTCAAATTAAGGCTAGTGCCCCTTTTGATAGACTAACTCTGCACAAGGTGTTGTCCCCCTCAGCACCACACAGTGGCAGGGTAGCGATACATCACTTGTTGATTCAGTGCAATGCAATTTTTTATGGACGTGCACGCCTAATGCACATTGTGCAGATATGGATGGGCTGGTAAAATAGCAACGAATGTGTTGTGCAGCAAGGGATCAACCTGCTCTGAAGCCCTTCCAACATGGGAGTAAGCCGATCGGCTTCCATGGAGGATACATCTTCCCATTTCCTTGCAAGCAGTGTCAGCTCCTGCGATCGACCAAGACATCCAGTCATCCTTGCAATAAATTGTTCGATTCCATGCAAAACAGTATATGGCCTTTAATCCATGCATTGCGGCATGGCAGCCCTTTGATACAGAAACGGTTGCTAATTTGCCAGCACAGAATAGTGCAGGAATAGTGTACATCCACAGAAAACCGTGCAAGCAACACAGAAATTTGTAACCAAACGATGCAGAAAATTGGAACATGCGTCAGAGATATGCACCCTTTATCGTATGGTTGATTTGGCAAAATGAGACTATGAAGTGGAGATCTGCCTGGGTCCGGCTCATGCTCCACTGTGCATGCATGTTTGGGATATCTACTGCAATAATATCTTGTGGTGCCGGATGCCTGCATATGGGGATCAAATTGCACCGACGAGGTGGATGGGCACTGGCCTATTGAGACACTCACTTTGGTACCATTTACTGACACTGCAAACGCAGTTGATGTTGTGAACAGATTTTCTGTTAACAGTGTTTGATGCCCTGCTGCTTTGTGAATGCCCACCACAGCCAATTCCAATGGGCATAATCGAAAGTGCAGTGCAGGACAGTCAAGGCTGGCATGATACACCAAGTAGTCCCACCTTAGACAGCCTTGCACGGAAGTGTCCCACCACCAAAGATGACAGGTGCTCGCAGGGCACATATGCAAAGCCCTGTCCATTCGACCAAAAATGCATTCAGAAGTTATTCAGAATGTAATGGACCTTCCTCAGGCTGTGGAAAGAGCAGCACAGAAGTAAAATCATTAGTCACATTTCGTACCAATCGCTGTGACAAGCAGAAGAACGCACTGCCTGGTCAACTCGGCACATTAAGTTACATGGTAGCAAAGCCCTTATGGAATTATGCCCTTCCTCTCCTCAAGGTACAAAAGCAGTGCTTTGTCACTTCTTGACAAATGCAGTCATAGATGCAGTCAGAGGATGGAGTCAGCTTGTAGCAGCCTGCAAAAGCCAGCATGGGTTGCTGGAGATTGCCAGTGAGTCTAATCGATCGATTCAGAAAGATTGTTGTGGAACCGGACAATGTGAGTCTGAACCGAAGACAGGCAGCCTCTGGTTCCTGAGTGTGAGTTGATGGTTTGAGGGCTGCCCCGCATCCATGGAATATTTCCTATGGGAGCAAACCTGCTCCAAGTGCCCGATAAGTCCTTGATAAGTGCTCTTTCTCAGTTTGTGTCCGCCATCACCAGTTGGTGACATGAAAATCCATGACTACAACAATAGCTAGCCTTATGGAGCGAAATTGTAGAGATCGTGAAGTTGACCATGTCCATCTTACCTGCTGAATGTACACACGCCTATGGTAGAGGAGGTCTGGAACTTGTTCAAAAGGAACCTGCACGATGAAATACTGGTGTTACCAATGCAAGGGATGCATAGGAAGATCAATCTCAGCAGCGAAATATCACAATTTTCAGTGGCACAGCTGCGCAGTGCTCTATTTTAGGAGAGAGTAAAGCAACGTTGTATCCACACTGGGTGCACTGTCAGGGAAGCAATGTGCCCTACCAGCCCAATGAGCTCTGTCAGCCGACTGGCTTTCCCTGCCTTAAAATTAAGAAGGAATGTTGGGCAACAGCTTATAGTGCACAGACAGACCTGAGTTCTGAGTTCTAGTCAATCGATAATTCTAGTTCCTAATTCTCATCCTAGCAGCCTTGAGAAGGAGGTGAGTCAAGATGGTGCTTTCAAAGTACTCTACACCTATCTGGCCTCACAACCATGGCCTCCTCCTTTATGCAGTGTTGTTAAAGGTTTGTAGCAGACAGCCATAGACCCTTGAATATAGATTTAGGTCCAAAAATGGGAAAGAAGCGAGATGGGCACCTTGAAGAAAGTCTTGCGCCTGCCGGACCTAACGGCCTCAGCCTCCTCTCTTTTGTTGTACTGGGAGAGGTAGGTGGCGGCCAGCTGTGCCTTGATGCTGTGGAACTCAGCATCATTTATCATTTCGTAGGGCATGTTGTTGGCCTCCAGGAATTGAACCTTCATGACATAAGCACAAATAGATTTGCCACCTGCCAAAGAATAAACGACCAATGGCAAGGAAGAAGCTTCTATTTTTGTCCAACAATTCATCTGTTATTTGCAACTCCAAGGCCTGTCTTGGTTCTGGTTTGCCTTCGATGAGTACTCCACAGTGCTGAGTCGACACATATGGGTTGGAGTGTTTGACCATCCACAACCGGAGCCTAAAAACCATGCTCTCATCGCGTTCAAGGCCACCATTTTGCCAAGTTAAACCAATTGCAGTCATGAAGGCATCACGATACAGCCACATTGACGTGGTTATCAACGATGGAGAGCAATCAACTCTAAATTGCCAGCAGTCCTCCTCAAATGATTCTGTTCTCGCAGGGCCCCTTTGTATCGGTCATGAATGGCATGGACAGGGGTACTGCACATTGTTCACAACGATTGATGTGGATTTTCCACCTGCTGTCTGGCCGGCAGGTTGCGCAGCCTCATGGTGAATAGGTCGCATTCCTGTGTGAGAAACCAGCGCCTGAGCTCCTCTGTGCGGCAGTATGCAAGCCTCAAGATGAAGTGTGACTGGACGTCCCTCCGCTGGGCTTCCTCTTCCGTTAGTCCCTGCCAATGTCAGCGGCTGGAGTCAAAGGAACAATCAGAACAGCACCCGTGCATCACCAAGATTGTAGAGTTGTAGTGAGGAAACCCTGGTAGCAGGTGTCCTTTGGCAAGCTGCCTGCACAAAAATCTGGCACAAACTGTGGGATCGTGGAACTGCGATCTCGCAAGGGAGGCTTGAAAGCACTGTATACCATCCTGACCTCCACCTTAGTGCACCCAATGCTGCCAAGGGCAAAGCATTTTCCTGCAATACCTGCGGGCTTGGAAGTTTCTGGTGACCATTGCCTGGTGTTGCCATGCAGACACACCTTCATCAGCCATGCATAGAGCTGCTGCAGTAGGTGTTGTCAGTAGCCGTCTCTGGAGGAAGTTGTCCATGTGTGCACTGTACACATTTGGCACCATGTCCCGATTTTGAGAAGAAATGCCATGGCTGTAAGGTTGACATAACTCACCTTGATCTGCTGCTTGAATAGCTTCAAAGCCCGTTCCTACAGCAATGAGGAAAAGTGTTGTGAATGTACACAAGTGGATGGCCACTAGATGTCCTTGTCAGTGGTACATGAACACCTAGGAACAGAGGGCTGTGGGGGAAATTCCACCAGTCAGGAATAAACAATTCCCCTCCTTCCCTCCTTTGCTTTTTTATTCTATTGCCTCAGAGCAACACAGCCAAGCCACAGACGTGCGAGAAAGACTACTGGAACACAAATTCTTCACACCAAACAATTAATAAGATGCCATTGCTGCAGCCACCAAAACTCCTGTGTTTCCAAAAGGCCCAGAGTCAACCACCAAAGTACCCATGCTGTTCAGACGATCTACGTACATTGCAATCCTACAATGGTTTTACAGCACTGCCATGCTGGCAGGCGTGCTGATGAACACTGTGGGGGCAAACAAATCCCACTGCCCGACCGTTTCTCAGACCAATGTGTGCATAGTGGTTGAGCATTCAAGAACCACTCCCCTCCCCCAGGAAGAGATTCATTCTTCACTGCAAACTCGCAACAAAAATTCAAAGTTGTCTGGCTTTATCGCCAGGATACGGTGATGTAGTTGGTCCTGAACCAAATTCTGGGAGGCCGATACGCACAGACCTGGAACCCGTTATACCCCGAGCCAAGTCTCTCTGTGGTTTGCTTCCAGACCTGTACATGCATTTTCGGTTTGTCGATGCAATGGAGACTGGACACCATGTGCCAGGCACGAAGGGACACTTAGCGTTGAAGTGAAAGGCAATCTGAAGAATGGCAACTTTCAATTTTTTGGTTGCCCTGTGGTTGTCCTAAAGATGCACCAGTTCCTCGCTCCTCCTGTTTGGGCGGGGCGGGGCAGTCTGATCGCATCACAGCGATGCAAAATTGGAACAGGTTAAAGGCGCACCTGCACCTCTTCTTCCCTCCTCCTTGCCGACCGGTCTTCCTCGATCTTCCTCAGCACTGTCAACACATCTTGCATCCAATCATTCCCTCGTTTTTTGACGCTGGCGTGTATCCCAGACCCAACATTGAGGCATTAAAGGTAGGGAGTTCAGCAAGCAGACGATGTGATCGTGCATCCGCAACTGATCGTGCGCTCTCTTCCAGCCAGCCAGGCACCAGAGTCGCGGTACAAATGCCCCATGAGTTCAGCGATCATGCCAAGACATTTCAGGCATATGTTTCAGCGCTGTAGGCCAGCTTGAAGCAGTCTCTCAGCACAAGGACGCCCGGTGCGCGCCTTACTCGCTCCTCGCGCGAGTTCACCGCCCCTTGATGTGATGCCCGCAATCTGCGCGGGCCGCAATGCCCGGCCTTTCCAGAACTGGAGTCGAAAGATGCGAAGCACCTTGCCGTGCAGGGGGTACGAGACGCACCGATCAGGCGGTCGAGGGCGAACCTCTCGAAGTCCTCGATGCAGATGTCGCCGTCCGGCGGGCAGTCGTACATCGACGCCGGGGGCTCCCCGCCCGGCAGGCCGCCGACTGACCGCCTCGGCGTCGCGCCGGAAGAAACCATCCTCGGCGAAGCGGCCCCCGCGGGCGGGCTGCGCCGCCCAGGATCGGCGTACAAGTCAGCGCCCAGCTGCGAGGCGGGGGCCGAGCACCCGGCGTGCTTGGATGGCGGGTGCGCGGTGGGAGGGCAGGGGACTGCGCTTTGGCGCGGGGACAGAAACTCTGGCGCCCTGGCAGGTGGGTGACTGCGCAGGGGTTGATGGGTTTGTTGGCTGTTTGTTTCATATCCTTGGCGCAGGGGTGGGGTGGGGCGTTTTTTCATCGCCAGTGGGTGGCGGGATGTCCAACGGGAGTGGGGCCCATCGGGTGGTTGTGCTGGAAGACGGTGGTGCGTCCCAGGTTTCGCCCATTGACCTTCTTGAATGCCAGGCCCCTTTCACCTCAGGGCTGAAATTTCCAGTGGAGTACCGTTTCCCGTCTGCTAAAAACCAAAATGCAGTTAAGTTAAAAGCCTGTTAAATTCCAGTTAAGTTGAAAGCCCTTCTGCATGAAGAACGCTGGCGGTACATACTTTATATACATGATATATGCGATGTATAATAGTGTAAAAGTTCCTTGGCCACCCCGGTTCGAGATCCCGCTCGTCGCAATCGTCCAATCGAATGCGCGCAGCGATGGGCCGCAACACAGCACAAGTCAAACCTTTTTTGTTCGACCTCCGTGGCAGCTTTGGTGCACGCGGTGCTCAATCGCACTGGCTGCGCTTGGTCGGACAAGCAGCCAAGACTCAATTTGTCTTGCAACCAAACCATGAGAAGCCACGAACAAGTCTTTAGAAGGCTCTCTTTAAATACCAGAGTGCGCCTCTTTTCATCGCCCACCAAAACTCACACTCAGAACGGCGGACCGAACTCACACTTCACACACGCACAACACGCTACCCCACAGCATCGACCCACAGCACCGAATCACAGCTCCAGCTCACAAAACCAACTCACGATCACCAAAATTAGTAAACTGATGCTGATTGTTGGGCAGCCCGCCTCCCGCCATCTCCATCGGGTCGATGAGTGCACCAGCCAGCCCCCACGTGACCAGCTGCTTTTGCACAACATGGCAGCTGCGGCTGTCTTGGCGCGTCAGACTTTCATCTCTTTAATCTGGCTCCCATTTGTGTATTTAATTTTCTCATTGAATTTCACCGAACATTGGTGTCCAGCCACCGACCTCCAGTTACATACTCTGGAAAGTTGCAAGTGAAACATCAAGAAACAGTCACAGCCAGTCAATTGTAATGTTCATGGGATTCCCTGAAATGAGATTCTCAGATGCCGCCATTTAATTTCTAATCATCGGAATACGAATCAGTAATTGACGGAGCCAGTTTATGGTCAATTACCAGTAATTCGAACAATTAATACTAACTTTTTGATATATGTCGCGCGCACGACGGGATGGGAAAAGTGATTGTAATTGCTTTTTCCAGCATGTGCTCTGGGTGGGCAGAATTGCAGGGCTGAACGAAAGTGCTGATTACGCGTAGTAGGCAAGGTTACGGTAGGCCCAGAAATAGGGTGGGAGATTGGCTCAAGGGTGAGTCTGTTGGCACTGTGTTCTAGCCTTGCCGGAGGAACGCACAGGCTGTGGCGCCAAGGACCCTTGGGGCCTCAAAGAGTGGTGGGACGACTTTCCATGGCTGCGAGTGAGCCGCAAGTGGCGGCGCTGCCTGAGGGAGCTGTCAAAAGCCATACTGCACTTCGGTTCTCTCCCTCCCGCCCATCACTGTGATTTGGATGTTGTAATGGGATGCTTGTTATGTTTCTCGCTCTTCGCGTTTTCTGGGATCCAAACAGGCCGAAAATATTCGTATGTGACTAGGTATATATGCGCGATATACGCTTTCCACGAATTGACCCCCGGAGTGGATCGTGAGCATAGGGCGTCCTTTGGCTCACCCTGGTTGCCCTTTGCAGTCATTCGCTTCGGTTGCAGCATTCACAGTCACCTGTGTCCAAGTTGGCGCCAAAGCACTGGCGGAATGTGCCACTGTTGGAACAGTACCAGCTGGTGCTGTCGAGCGATGAGAGATAGACAGCACAAGCGGAGCCTCCGCCTGTGCGCCACTGCGGTAGACAATTGCCGAGCAAGCGGGCGATGCTTTTCCAGCCTTACGGATTGGTACCATTCAGACTCTGGTGACATGGCCAACATGTTCTTTTCCACTGCGAATTACTTCCCATCTTCATATATCGTGCACATGCCATGAACATGCGTTATTAACATACAATTTGGGGTGATTTCAACAGTGAATAGCGCAAATGTGCAGATTCTGCACCGTGATTAATCCACATTGCTGAGCGGCGGGCCCAAGGCGCATCGTTTCGCGTTTGTGGGCCATCGCTCAGAGCGTTTGCCACATATCAGAGAATGAAATCGACAGAAATGTCTGGACACACATTCTACCACCTGCTGACATCTTTGGAGACCCGCCAGGACACCAACCCGAAAACGGCGCCACGCAGCTCTCAGAGAAAAGTTGAGAGGCCTCCACGTCCCGCCACCGAGGTAGGCGCTGCCCCTGCCAGTTGGCAGGCTGGCAGAGGACTTGTGTGCTAGCCGTGGCAGATCAATATCTGGTATTCATCATTGGTACATAGGTATTGTCACCACTGTTGGTCCCACATGCACGCCTCAATGGATACATGGTCCTCCTACCTAAACGCGGACAGGGTCCAAGCTCAAATATTAGGCAAAGGGTTCAAATATAGACACATTATTAGGGCGATTTGCGTACTTTTTCCCCTCGGTGCAGTAGACTTCGATGTTTGCAAGCTCTTGAACCCAATGAGCGTAAGTGAACACTACGATTCGTTTTCCACAGCGCATGGTTTAGACTCTAGAAACAAAACCGCACGTTCCAAGAACATAAATTTGTGTTTCTGCCATAACTGGTGCCCAAGCCTTGTGAATGCCTTTGGACTACATTTGTGAGTACGCTTAAAGCATCTCAAGCAAACAAATTCCTCTTCGTGAAGAGCCTTGAATGATCGATGCGAGCAAGTTGTGCCAAGCTCCCAAATCTGGGACCCAAAATATTCCAGAAGCACGGTGATTAAACGTCACGTTTGTTCACTGGGACCAATCCACGTGGATTGGTGTACACATTCCCATGAAGCAAAGTGCATGCATTTAATGCACCGTTCAGAAACCTTTTCCCTTCATTCACTGCCAGGCTTGGTTTTTACGTTTACGTTTACGTTTTTACTTTTACGTTTTTACGCGTAAAAACATAAATTTGCAAAAGGGCCTGTTTTTACGGCTATTTTTACGTTTTTACGGCTCCCTTGGACGCTCAGATTACATGATGAAAGTTGCGTACAATGATCAGTACTCTGCCATATCCAGCACCCGCAACACAGTGCCCATCTCGCACTTGGCAAGGGCGATAATGATGCTTAACAAGAACTCGTTTTCTGCCCCTTCCAGGGCATCTGGCTGCCACTCTCCGGACTCCGTAAGTCTGTATGTACTATCCTTATGTACACCGGGCAGTTATTACATTGTATTTACGTATTTTGACGCATTTTTACGCGTAAAAACGTAAAAACTGTTTTTATACGTAAAAACTGTTTTTATGCGTAAAAACTGTTTTTATGCGTAAAAACTGTTTTTACACGTAAAAACGTAAATATGATCAGTTTTTACGGCGTAAAAACCAAGCCTATTCACTGCTAGCATCACAACAATTCACACGGTGATCTGGGGCAACATTTCCACTTTTGGCTCACAACATGGCCGATTCCAGTTTGCGGATTTCCAGTTGGAGATTCCGATGCCCTAGCCCGTTTGTAATGTCCCTGTAGCAGTATGCCCATGTGTGGCATAGGCTTTGCTCCGTGTCTGAAGGAATTCCAACAATGTCTCCAGGCCCTTGAAGGTGGTTCCGCACTTGGCGTCCTAGTTTCCGACAACATTTCGAACAGACTGGCGCCCAGACCTGGACAGTGCAGTGACAGAATTCTGACTTCGAAGTCGAAGTGAACAGAACAACGATAGACCTGCCATGAAGTGGGGCTTGAGTAGTACTTGTGCAGTGCGCGCTTCAGCACCCAACAAAAGGAAAACACAATGTGGAGCAGACTTCATGAAGCCTGATGCACTCCTTGATCAAAGGAGCGGAAGGCAGAGAGCCAACCGCTAAAAATGCGCTGCCCTCGAATCTACCTGCCGCAGAATTCCACAGCACAGAAGGCAAGAGGAATGAACAACTCTTCAACTTGGTATTCATGCGGTTGCCTTTCGCAAAAGAGTTCCTATATGCCACCTCAAGGCTTCCTGACCATACATCGGTGTGTCCAGATACCTGGGCATGTTTTGCGATCCCAAAGTGTCCTGATTAGGCTGCTCGCTCCCAACAGACGACTAATACTTATCCACTGCCTGCCGTCTCCCATCCTCCCGACCTTCACCCCATCCCTGGTTCTCTTGCCTGCCATACGGAGCGCGCCCATCCCACTCCCGTTGAGGTCCCCAATCACCGCCTCTGTCGCGCCAATCGACGCGTCGATCACGATCACAATGTTCCTCGCGACCGCCTCCACCACCCCACTGCGGCTCCTCCAACCCTTCACCGCTCCGTACACCACAGTCCTCCACCCGGTTGGGCACACAAACACCTTCCACCCCACCGGCACCCCCTTCCGGGCCCCAACCGCCACCAACGCCTGCATATCGATCTGTATCCCACCCACCCCCATGGGGCACCCGCCCGGCGTCCAATCTTCCGCGCCAACCCCCTTGCCCCTCGTCACCCAACCGCTGTCCTCTCCCACCGTGCCAGTCGGGTCCCCCGCCTTCGCCGCGTCCTGACCCGTACTCGCTGCCGTTTCCTCGCCGAAAGGACGCGCCCCATTCCCCGCGCCGGGCACCCCCGGTCCATGCCGCAGCCCCCGCGCAGCCTCCCGCCTCCCACCCCTCCCACTCGCACTCCGAGTGGCCCCTCCCCGCGCCCAACTGACCGGCCCACTGGGCGCCATGCCGGCAGCGACGCTCGCGATCCTCTCCTTCCACTATCCCCTCTCCGGCACCTTCCCATCCGCGCTGTTGGCGCCATTCACCACCCCTTTGCGCCTCTTGCCCCCAATCCGTTTGGTCCGGCCATCCCGCTTGGGCCCCAGGTCCCCACCGACGGCCATCCCCTCCAGGACATCCCGTCTCCCCCCTCCACGCGCCCCTATCCCAACCCTCCTCGCTACACCGCTCCCTCCCCCAGACCCCACCCAGCCTCTCCCAACGATCCCACCCTTGCTGGTGCCCAACGGCCTGGGAACGGTGCCGCCCATCGCCCCACCCCTCTCGACTTCGCCACTGGCCGTCCCACCTGCCCCACTCCTGGTGCGCTCCCCCTTGGCGACCTCGAGCTCCTTGACGGCACTTGCCATCCTCGCCAGCCTCGCAACCGTCCAAATTCCTTGACCTCCATCCACCGACAGCGGGGCGGTCGCACTGGCCATCTGAGTGCGGCAATCTGTTCTGGCGATCGCCCTGTGACGACCACCATTCACTCGGAGCCCCCTCGCGGCAATCTGCGCCTTCAATGCACCCACCGCCGCCCACTGCGCCCCAACCCTGGTGACCCCTGTAGCTGTGATCCGTGAACCGACCTCCAGCGCCGGCAGTAACCCCATCAACGGAGGCTCCCCCCGGCCAGCCTTCACCTCCCGCTCCCTCCTGCCACTCCGGAGTGGCCGAGAAGGGATCCCTTCTTCCACACCGACCTGCGTCGCCTCCTCTCCATCCTCTTTCCGGCCATCCCCCCCCGTCCTGCTGCCAGACGTCTGCAGGCCGTCGATATCCCGTGCTCTGTCGCGGGCCCTCTTCGCTTGGCGGCTGATAGCTTAGTTGCCGGTCTCCTTCATGCAGTTCTCCGGTCCCCAGTTCCCATCCCTGGGCAGGTCGCTGGCCGGCGGCCCGTTGCCATTCTCCTTCTGGTCCTGCGGCGTGCCCGCGAACCGCGCCCCCACCCCAATCCGTTCCCTGTGCCGCCTGCTGGACCCGCTCACTCCCAAACCGCTGTTTTTCATCCCAACCGTCGATCCCTTGGCTCCCATGTGCGCCCCATGAACTGCTGCCGTACGCCCCGATGCTCCAGTCCCCGCCGTGGGGGTGATCATCCCCCTGACTCAAGCGCGATCCTTTCCCGTACTCAATAACCACATCGCCTTCCGAATGTTGCGCAACGCTCCCTGCTGTCGGCGTTCCGTGGCGGCTGGCCTGATCGGCAGCTCCACGTTTGACGCCCCATTCCCCACCCCTTGGATCGCCCCCGCCTTCCTGCCTGGGCGCCCAGCCACCCTCCAGGCCGCGCGCGTCGGCACACAGCCCATCTGGCGGGCGCTGCGCCATTTTAGGCCTATCCGACCGCTCCGCACCGTCGTCCCCTCCTTGCTTGCTCTGGCAAATGACAGCATTGACGACCATCTGGCCCCTGTCCTGGTCCATGCCCTTTGGCACACGCTCCGCCTGGGTACTTGCGTTCTGGGGCAACCAAGCAGTCTGCGGCCCAGGTGTACCAGGGCCAGGCGCCTCCTGCCCGGCGATGTCCTTGCCCCCTTTGCGGTCGATCGCGCCAGGGGCTTGACCGATCGGTTTGGAGCTGGACGCGTCCCCCGACGACCAAGTGCGCTGCTGTGGGCCCTCAGGCCAAGGGACGGCATTTGTGCCCTTCTCCTCAAGGACGGGTTTCGTGCTGCGCCGGAATTCAAAGCCCCTGTTTTCTTCGGGTGCCTTCGCCCATCGCCTGACGTTGGCCTGCTTGTTGCTGACAGGGTTGTTTTGGCTGTGCGGCGTTGGGCGCAGCCTTACGCCCTTGTCGTCGCTGGCTGGAGCTGTGTTGTCCTACACAACATGCCGAAATTGCTTCGTTTTGGCTTAAACTGCATACATTTCCTTGAGTCCGTATCAAAAAGTCTTCAACACATGGTGGGTGCCTGCATGCATCCTGCGCAGGATACCTTGTCAATCACCAAATACCCACATGGGTTTCAGACCTGCATGTCGTACCTGTACGACATGCAAGCAGGTCGGCAATTGGGGCATGTCTGTCTGCGTTTGAACCACTGCAGGGCGGTTAATGTTTAGGCTGCTGGACGAGCAAGACTATTAACACAACGAAGTTGTTGCAATTTTATATTGACGCAAAATGCATGAATATGCTCGTAAATGCGGACGTCCGCGTTTCCGCTTGTTATTGTCTGAGAGTACACAATCGCCAGTATGGGGCGCAAAACGCAAGGACCAAGCCTGGCTGCCAGGCTTAGTTTTGACGTTTACGTTTACGTCTTATGTTATGCTTTTATGCGTAAAAACGTAAATTTGCGAAAGCAGCTATTTTTACTGCTGTTCTTACGAATTCACGGCTGGTTGGGACAGCTAGATTACAAGATGAATATTGCGTACAATGATAATTCTTCCGCCATGTCCAGCATCGGCAAACGCAGTGCCCACCTCCCCCTTAGCAAGGGCAACCAGGCTTGGATTTTACGCCATAAAAACTGATCGTATTTACGTTTTTACGTTATTACGCGTAAAAATGCGTAAAAATACGTAAATACAACGTAAAAACTGCCTGGTGTATATAAGGGCTGTACATACAGACTTACGGAGCCCGGAGAGTGGCATCCAGATGCCCTGGAAGGGGCAGAAAACGAGTGTTTGTTAAGCGTCATCATCGCCTTTGCCAAGGGGGAGGTGGACATTGTGTTGCAGGTGTGGGGGATGGCGGAGTACTGATCATTGTACGCAACTTTCATCACGTAATCTGGGTGTCCAAGGGAGCCGTAAAAACGTAAAAATAGCCGTAAAAATAGGGTCTTTTGCAAATTTACGTTTTTACGCGTAAAAACGTAAAAGTAAAAACGTAAACGTAAACGTAAAAACCAAGCCTGAGGGCAACGACGGCATGGAACAAAAGTTCGTTTTCTACACATTCCAGCGCGTCTGACTGCCACTCCCAACTCTGCATGTATTGCCTTACGTACACGGGACTGTATTTTGGCTGTATTTACGTATTTTTACGCATTTTTCGCGTAAAACGTAAGAACTCTTTTTACCTGTAAAAGCATAAATATGTTCAAGGTTTGCGGCGCGAAAACCAAGCCTGGTTGCTGCCACCGATGTTTCATCCACAGAAGCGTCGTCGAGTCCTGAAACTTCAACTTTCTTGGCCTGCTCCCCTCTAACGCAGGGGCAACGTGATGTGGAAATCATCCGCCAATCCGGCCTCAAATCATCCATGCGCAGGAAATGGTTGCGCGCTGAATCACCTCGCAGGGCGAATGTTTCCCGTTGGGGAAGCGCCAAGGGGGAGATGTTTCCCTTTGGAAATTATGACCAAAGACCTCTCTGAGCTCTCTGATATTTCTTAATTTTGACTGGCCACATGCATAATGCCGCGGCGGCGCTCACTGTGCGAACAACTCGAAGCAGAACTTGGACGCGGCGCCCGATACATCAGCCATGAGTGATGTGAAGTACTGTAACGGCGGATTTCAAAAAGAAATTCGCAGTGGGCGCTCACACAATCTAGTGCCACGGTGCAACAATTGGCGCTGCAATACATTGCGTCTTGTACGGCACTGGCCAAGTGATGCTGGAAAGTACGCTCAGTGAATTGACACTCTGAAATTGCGTTTCAGTGTTGAAGCACAATTTCATGTCCATTGAGCTGACGGCAATGAGCTGACGGTGACTGTGTCCTCAGGGACTTGTAGAGTAGCAATTACGTTACTCGGGAAGCACTTCATGTCACCATGCGCCGAAAACACCGTTCCATCATTATGCCATTTTGGCGTCACGTCCTAGCAGCTCGCTTGACGGACTTACAGGGAGAAATGCTGAGACACATGCTTCGATGAGGGTGTTGACGTCTGAGCTCAGCGGACTCAGGTCCGGGGGGGTCGTCGTGGACTGCAAGCAGTAGAAAAGGAGTTCACGCAATCAGTTACCCTTCTTTTCTTGTGAGCCATATGCTCTGCGGTGACATAGTTCAAACTGTGCATTTGCCATCGGAAAACTCATCATCTTCTGCGGACATAAAATTTTGATGTAGCCTTCCACCCGGTGCTAAGCGGCTGGCAGAGAATTGCCAGATTAGAGTTACAATAGCATTTACTGCTGTTAAATCATTATTATTTTGCACACAAGTAAGTGTTAACAATTGCTGGTATAACAATACACAGTTCAAGACTGAAAAATCAGAGTAAGGAAGAAAACAATCTCGAGGCCATGCACTTGGGGATGGGAACAAGCAGAGGTTGCGCTCCCAAATCGGAAACCGACATTTGGCACTCTCGACACACTACCCCATGAACACTGTGCGAAATGGTAGTTGTAGGCAGCCGTCTCTGTAGGCAATGCTCCGCCATTCATGGACATGCGCCATCAAAGTACCTGCATTAATTCAACAAGGGGACAGGATTTTTTCCTGCGTATTTTCCCTTCTTGTCACTTTGAGCATGTGGAGGGCAATTATGTTTTCTCCAGAAATACATGCGCATGTATGTCTATACATGGATCTATGGCCTCGTTTGTACGCTGACTCTCCGGCTGTGTCTTTTACGTAAAGGACGCACAGAGACGACAAACAGACGAGTTTAAAAAGTGCACGTGGTAGTTTATGATCCATTGCGATTTCCCGACAGTGTTACGCCCAGAAACAGCACAAGACAGATGAGCTTGCCGTCATTTTTTGGATGATATAACAGCAACCGATGTCGAAGCGATTGATTCCGATCCAGGCTTGCTTTTGATAAGGAGGTAGGAAGATTCAAACATTTTCAATTTGCAGCAGCATTTGGCGGAATGCTTGGAAGAAAAACGCACAGAGCTCACCTCAACGGCTGGGTCATGCAGGCGCCACCTGCGAAGGACAGGGGCCAGCCAATCAATATCCAAGTTGCACCTCTTGCCATGTCTTTTTTTATGGGTACGTGTAAGAAACGCTTTTTCAGTATATGTTTGGCTGCTTCACGAGCCCTGCGTTCTGCTAAAGGAGATACAAAGAGGAAGTTGCATATAGGATGCCACTAGCCGGCAATCGCGAGGGGGCGCCTCGCTTGCCACTGGAGTTTGCTGCCTATCGAGCTTCAGACTGCAGGGGCTGGATCTCGTTCACTTCTGCATTTGCAGACACAGTTTCATTGAGTTCCCGCCAAGTGAGAATGCGCGCGCGCATTCTCTCGCGCGAGAGATAGATGAAATATCAATTAAAATGACAAAAGGGGGCCCTCTGTAACATATATTGGCAAATTTGCCTTTTAAAAGGGGGTCTCCTGTAACAAAAGGGCGTCCTCTGTGGGGGTGCCAATGACCAAAGGGGCCCCTCTGACCGCCACTCGTACATTAGACGCGTTGGAAGACCGGCACCAGACCGGTGCCCGTCTGCAACACAATCCTACCAGTGGCGATCCCGCAGATTACAACCCTTTATCAACTTCCCTCTTTGGGATGTTGCGAGTGTTCGTGGGTCTTCGCGATGTCAGTTAGACGGACACCCCTTCCCTTGGTGTATTACTGAAATGCCTTTTCACTCCATAAACATACACAAGTCATTATTGGAAATGATCTGATTGTGTCTCCACTGCAAAGGTCATTAAAGAGCGAATTGTCGTGCGAAATCTGAAGAGAT